CTGAATGTGTGGAAGCTCCCACGCTCAGTCTCTACCCTTAGTCACACCCCTGTTTTTCATAACAAACACTTTGGGAACCTCCAGTCCCACCCCTCCAAATGAGCTTTCACCATTAAGCCTACTTCCTGGCCTTCCGGCCTCCCCTTTCATGAGTCACTCACTTCCGCTAAGAGTCTGCCCTAGGCCTTGGACCCCATTGGGGGAGGGGGGGAGAGTGGGCAGGTCCTGGATTATGTTACTTTCCCAGGGACAGACAGGTTTCCGCCCATGTGCTGCTTTGTATAGTTCTTAGCTTCATCCCACCCACCAAGCCTGTAGACTCCCCTTGGCCTTGCGGGGGAATATGGTGATCCTGAATCAATGGGTGGGAATGGTCAGGACCAGCGTGCCACTCTGGTGAAGTTTGTCACGGGAGACACACAGGTCTCTAACTGACCCTGTTCACCCATGTCTCAGAGCTCACCAACATCCTGGCTACCTCAAGAAGCTACGCCATGCTGCTGTTCGCATGGGAAGGCTGGCATGACACCGTAGGCATCCCGCTGAAACCCCTATATAAGGACTTCACTGCCCTCAGCAACGAGGCCTACAGACAAGATGGTGAGCCTGCCTTTCCACCTTACCAGGCATTCTGATCTACTTTACCCCCACTGAGCCCCCACTCCCGAGGCAGACAGACTGGCTGGTACCATGACTGCAGAGCTAACCCCTGGTTTCTCAGCTGGTAGCAAGCTGGCAGATACAGGATCTCCAGCTGGAAGAATGGCAAAGCTAAAGCTGGAAGACAGGGGCCCTGAGTCTCAAGCCTGAGCTGTACCTTCTCCACTCTGCTAGGCTTCACAGACACAGGAGCCTACTGGCGGTCCTGGTATGACTCACTTACCTTTGAGAAGGACCTGGAGCACCTCTACCACCAATTAGAGCCTCTATACCTGAACCTTCATGCCTATGTCCGCCGGGCACTGCACCGCCACTACGGTGACAGATACATCAATCTCCAGGGACCCATCCCGGCTCATCTGCTGGGTAAGAAGTAGCACTGTGGTTAGAAAGCTGGTACAGGGCAGAGCCAAGATCCAAACCAGAGGCTTTGGCTTCAGGTCCAGGGGAAGAAGCATTCTAGTCTTAGTTTGTGCCCAAGGAAGCCAGCCCTGGGTCACCACCCTAGAAGTGGGAGGTAGGACCCTGGCATGGACAGCAGTATGGCCTGGGCTTATACTTGCAGCAGCCTGGGGAGGGCAGATCATACAGAGTGGGGGGGGGGGGTGATGTGACTGTGTACAAGGCAGATATGCAAGATGCTGGGCCTCAAGCCAGTGGAGCTGCTCTGAGCTCCCAGGGTGCATCAATGCTCAGAACGACAGTAACCAGGCTGTTCCATCTCTCCCTCCTCCATCTAGGAGACATGTGGGCCCAGAGCTGGGAAAATATCTATGACATGGTGGTGCCCTTTCCAGACAAGCCCAACCTAGATGTCACTAGTACTATGGTGCAGAAGGTAAGTACTGGAGGCAGGCTCCAGGTGGAGTAATGAGAGGGAGTCAGAGATGGTAGACCAGAAGGAGCAGGTGAGGATCCTCCCTTTCCTGTACTAGCCAACCATGAACTGGGCTTTGGATCCCAGTGACAGAGCCAGCAACAGTCTACTTTTACCCATATGCTGTCTGCGGTCAATAGGGCCCTGCCTCTGAGAAGGTTGGTTGGCAAGTAAGCAGAGATGCCTTCACAGGCAGGGTGCTGCCCTGGATGAAGGGTATAGAGGACCTGCCCTTCTCCCCACAACAACCCCAGCATCTGCAGGCAGCTAACCCCTGACCTTTTCATCTTCCTCTCCCTCAGGGCTGGAACGCTACCCACATGTTCCGAGTGGCGGAGGAGTTCTTCACCTCCCTGGGTCTCTTACCCATGCCTCCTGAGTTCTGGGCCGAGTCGATGCTAGAGAAACCCCGTGATGGGCGGGAAGTGGTGTGCCATGCCTCTGCCTGGGACTTCTACAACAGGAAGGACTTCAGGTCTAGACATGAGAGGGACATGGTGGAGCTCTAAGAAGGGGACATCTGGGGCACAGACTCACCTCCACTGCTCCTACACTGCCTGGGGCTGGTCTAATCCATGGCCCTCAGGTATACAAGCCCACTAAACCCCTTCCCTGGCAACTCTGACCAGCAGTCAGATCTGTGCCTTGCTTTTTATTTTTGCTTGAATAGTATCTCACTAAGCAGCTCAAGCTAGCCTTGAACTTATGATCCTCCTGCTTCAGCCTCCTGAGTAATGAGATTAGAAGCATGTGCCAACCCAGTTAACTTTGCTATATGCCTCGGAATGGAGGAAAAAGGTCTGGGTGGTAATGAACCAGGTCAGGGTCAAGGGTTTTCTATCTCAAGCCACTTCTTCCCACCCCAGGAAGTACCCTTCTTGGTCCTGACTCTTGTGCCAGCCTTCCCTGCCATGACCCCGGCCATGTCTTATCCTTTACCATCACCTTCTTCATGCCCCAGGATCAAGCAGTGCACACGAGTCACAATGGACCAGCTCTCCACTGTGCACCACGAGATGGGCCACGTGCAGTACTTCCTCCAGTACAAGGACCTGCCTGTTTCCCTGCGCAGAGGTGCCAACCCTGGCTTCCACGAGGCCATCGGAGACGTGCTGGCCCTCTCTGTCTCCACTCCCGTACATCTGCACAAAATCGGTCTCCTGGACCACGTCACTAATGACACAGGTATGAGGAAATTGAGAAGGAATCAGTTAATTCCATTCAAATCCCCTCCACCCTTCTGCTTTTTTTTTTTTAATTGGAGATAAGAGCCAGCGGTGCCCACTCAGCTCTGCCTATCATTTCTGTCTCCCAGACCCAGAAACAACCACATAGAGCTCAGTACTCTCCAGGTGGCAGGATTCTGGGTCTCTGGACTCATCTTTTCTAAGGCCATCCAGCCTCCCTTATCACCTTGCCCTGGCTGGCCTCTCTTCTCCTACTAACCTCTCTCTTCTGGTCTCATCTTCTGACAGAAAGTGACATCAACTTCTTGCTAAAGATGGCTCTAGAGAAAGTTGCCTTCCTGCCCTTTGGCTACTTGATAGACCAGTGGCGCTGGAGGGTTTTCAGTGGGCAGACCCCCACCTCCCGCTACAACTTCGACTGGTGGTATCTCCGGTGAGTAGAAGCATCAGGAAGGACCTCACCTCAGTGCCCTCTCCAGTCCTGGGCAGCCAGGAACCTCCAGCCTCCCTCTCTCAGCCCTCATTCCCTTCTCTCTTCCCTACCCCCCTTCCTCCTTCCCCACCTGAAACTCCCTCCCCCTGAAACCTTCCCAACTTCTCAGGATGAGGAAGGGATGGGTTGGACGAATATCTTTTCCGTAAAGCTCAGGCAGCCTGTGGGCAGCCCCTGGGCCTTCAAGGCAGCTTAACCATCTTCTTCCAGAACCAAGTATCAGGGGATCTGTCCTCCAGTTGTTCGTAACGAAACCCACTTTGATGCCGGAGCTAAGTTTCATATCCCAAATGTGACACCATATATCAGGTACTGACATGCCCCAGCCCCTCTCCATTTCTGTCACCCCTTTAGTCCCCTCCTCTTAGGATCCTAGCCTCCCTGCCCACAAAGCCAGTCCCTCAAGGGCTCAGAATTAACATTTTCCTCTCTCCTGAGCTGCACGTGTTTCTGTCGATAGCCCCCATTCAGCCACTGCAGCAATTCATGCAGGGTGCTGGATGGTGCCAGGGCAAGGTACTCCTGCTTCTGCTACCCTCCCCTCCACATTCCCTCTAATGCCCACCCTATGCCTGCAGGTACTTTGTGAGCTTTGTCCTGCAGTTCCAGTTCCACCAAGCCTTGTGCAAGGAGGCAGGCCACCAGGGCCCACTGCACCAGTGTGACATCTACCAGTCTAACCAGGCGGGAGCCAAGCTCAGGTGTGTGGAGGGGAGGGATGACAGGTGAGAGGGTAGGTAGGCAGAATAGTGAGGGGGAGGGCTGGGAAGGTGGCTCAGTGGTAGAGCGCTTGCCTTGCATGCATGAGGTCCTGGGTTCGATTCCTCAAGCACCACATAAGCAAAAAGAAAAAAGCCGGAAGTGGTGCTGTGGCTCAAGTGGTAGAGCGCTAGCCTTGAGCTGACGAGCTGAGGGACAGCACCCAGGCCCAGAGTTCAGGCCCCACAACCGGACCCTCCCCCAAAAAAAGAATAGTGAGGGGGAGAGACTGGTAAAGGATACAACTGGCTAGTTGGATTGGGACACTCTACGACTGAACTTGTCTCTTTCTCATCAAACATTTATTGAGATGAGTATCAGATGCCATGGGGTGAGGCCACTCCCTCCCAAAAATCTTGGCCATAGGGTCTTCATGCCACGGCCCTTGTAGCCGGGGTGGGGAGGGGGGTGGGTGAGGGAGGGCAGATACAGGCAAGGGCAGCATTGTAGCCCTTGTGCCCTGAGTACTTATTTTGCCTGACAGGGAGGTGCTGCAGGCAGGCTGCTCCAGGCCCTGGCAGGAGGTACTGAAGGACCTGGTGGGTTCAGATGCCCTGGATGCCCAGGCACTGCTAAACTACTTCCAGCCACTTAGCCAATGGCTGCAGGAGCAGAACCAGAAGAACAATGAGGTCCTGGGCTGGCCAGAGTATCAGTGGCATCCACCATTGCCCAACAACTACCCAGAGGGCATCGGTAAATCCCTGAGTGAGGGTGACCTGGGACTAAGGCGAGTCCTCAACTCTGGGCTCCGGGCCCGTGCCCCTGGTTCCTGGTGGACTTCCTCCCAGCTATGTCCTGACCCCTTGCCACCCATAGAATGCTGGATCACCTCTGAGTGCCAGGAGCCCCCTGAACGGAGTCAGGGGCATCTTTTCCCCTGTCATCCTAGAGAATGTGTGCCCAGGCCTGAGGGTCCCCAGGGGGCAGGCTGGCCTGGTATACTGCTCTATGAGGTCACATTGAAGGCTCCACTCTTATTGGCCAGGGGAGGAGGCTTCAGGACTCTGCTCCTCCTGTGGCCATGGGCCAAGGTTGGGCTGCCCCCGGGCTGCCCAGCCTCCTCTTCCTGCTGCTCTGCTGTGGGCACTCACTACTAGTCTCCAGCCATGTAACCACACACCAGGTGACAAACAACCAGAGGACATCCGGCTGGGAAACAACCAGAATCCAGACAACAACTCACCGGGCAACAAGCAGGCAGAGCCCAAGTGGGACCCCCACACCCCCACACCCCAGGGCAGGGGAGGGTGACAAGAGGGTGTGGGGAGAGAAGGGAATGGCAGGTGGGGATTCTGACGAGGTTGCACCCTGGAGAGGAGAAGGGGAGACTTGTCTCTTTCCTTCTGCTCTGTCCCACAGACTTAGTAACCGATGAAGCTGAGGCTAACAAGTTCGTGCAGGAGTATGACCGGACATCCCAGGTGGTGTGGAACAAATATGCCGAGGCCAACTGGAACTACAATACTAACATCACCACAGAGAATAGCAAGATCCTGGTAGGAGCCATACCCTGCCGCTGCCCCCACAGCATGCACGCTCACACAGACACACAGCTATTCAGGGACACACTGAAATTTGTGAGAAATCCATAGGGAGTATAGAAGACAATTTCTTTCACTAAAATCCAGTCTCTACTATCACACTGTAGTTCTCTATACATAAGTTATTATCAACCAAGCTGATTTTTTACATTTTTTTGGTGTGCCAGTCCTGGGACTTGAACTCAGGACCTGGATGCTGTCCCTAAGCTCTTTTGCTCAAAGACAGTGTTCTACCACTTCCAGTGTTTTGGTGGTAAATTGGAGATAAGTGTCATGGACTTTCCCACCCAGGCTGGCTTTGAACCTTAATCTCCAGATCTCAGCCTCCTGAGTAACTAGGATCATAGGCATAAGCCACTAGCACACAGCTTATATTCTTCCCACTTTACAGATAGGACCCCAAGCCTCAGGGAGACTACCGAGATAACAAGCTGCCTTCATCCTGATGGTGTGTGTGTGTGCGTGTGTGTGTGTGTGTGTGTCCATACTGGGGCTTGAATCCAGGGCCTGGACACTGGCCCTTAGTTTTTCTGCGTATGGCTGGTGCCACAGCTTTTTGAGCCACAGCTTTTTGCTAATTAATTGGAGATAAGAGTCTCACAGACTTTCCTGCCTGGGCTGGCTTTGAACCGTGATATTCAGATCTCATCCTCCTAAGTAGCAAGGATTACAAGCATGAGATACCGATGTCCATCCAACCTGATAGTCTTTTAAGACATCTCTTTCTTACGCTGTCAGAATATCTATCTGGAGTGCAGATATCTCTCGAGGGGCATATACTGCACCCAGGACTTTATCAGATGGCCCAGTTTGTAGATCTGTATAGGCAAAAGCAGTAGCTTAATCAAACTTCGCCCCCTACCCCCCCACCATCCTCATCACCAACCCCCTTGGCATCTCCTGCCTGGAGGCTGCTCCAAAGAGCCCATGACACCAACCCCTGTGCCCTCAGATGCAGAGTAACATGCAAGTGGCCAACCACACCCTGAAGTACGGCACCTGGGCCAAGCAGTTTGATGTGAGCCATTTCCAGAATGCTACCAACAAGCGGATCATAAAGAAAGTTCAAGACCTAGACCGGGCAGCCCTGCCTGTTAAGGAGCTGGAGGAGGTGTGTTCGTTGGGGAAGCAGGAAATCAAAGCCGTTGGAGGGGAGTGAGCCCAGCTTTTGAGGGTCTGGTCCCCTGCTTGCTTCTTCCTTGATCTGTCTAGTGGTGGCAGGGACCATGTCCATAGATGTCCCCAGAATTTCTGAGAAGACAGTATCTTTGGGAACATGTTCTCCAAAGCCCCAACCATAGTCCTTGGGGCCAAAGAACCTTCTCCCCTCTCATTGTGCCTGTTTGTCTCCCTGCAGTACAACCAGATCCTGCTGGACATGGAGACCACTTACAGCGTGGCTTCTGTGTGCCACATAAATGGCACTTGTCTACAGCTGGAGCCTGGTGAGAAGACCCTGGTGGGAGGGGGAAAGAGGTGGGGTCTGGGTTGGCATGGGTGGGATTGTTGCCAGGTCAGGGGAAATGGATGCCCCTTCTGGCTTTCTACCAGTAGAGCTCTTTGTACCCCCACTCAGAATCAACCCCTACTTCAGCCTTTGCTTCAATATGCTGTCGCTAGGCAGGCATAGGACTCTCCCCGGCTCTCCCTTTCTATCACACAGAGCAGCAGGGTCTGAAGTTCATCTTCCAACAGATAGAACCATGGAACCCCAACACCCCCTTCTCTTTGTGATTCTACTTATATCATCTCAACTTTCTCTGCCTTTTTTGGGTCCCTCCCCCACCCTCAGCACATGGCTGAAAAGGAAACTGAGGCCAGACAGGACCCTGGGAAGCACCAGAGTAGAAGTTGGCCTAGCTGGTATCTTTCCAACATCACCCTTCCTTCCACCTTCACTTCCTGCTGGATAGGCATGAGCCAGCTCATAGCTCCCTCTTTCCTTTGCCTGTCTCCTTGGAAAGGGATCAGTCCGGACCCCCAGGTACCACAGAGATACTCTTAACCTACCCCCTTCCAGGCCTGGGGAATATAAACATTCTTCATAAGGAATCTCCACCTAGAAATGTTTTTTTTTTTCTTGGCCTCCAGCCTGGCTCCCACTTTAGAAGAATGACAAATAGATGGGGAAATGGAAAATAAACAGGGTTAAGAAAAAGATTTTCCGGGGCAGGGTTTGGCCTACAGGTGGTGGATGTGGGTTTGCACACAAAGTGGAGAGAGGGGTATGTACGTGCCTGGGCACACATCTAGATGCATATGTGTTTCTGTACGTGCCTGGGCACACATCTAGATGCATATGTGTTTCTGTACGTGCCTGGGCGCACATCTAGGTGCAAATGTTTCTGGAGAAGAACATGAAAGGGGTGTGACACTTCAGCCCCCCCCCCATCAGACAGCTCCCTGATGGAGGCTGAGCTATCCGATAGCTGACACCACAAAATAAGAATCCCCCCACCCCCTAAAATAAGAAGACTCACATCACTGGAAGATTGACAGGGACTTCTCAAAATATACCCTTTTCAAGCAAAATTAATTGAGTTTACTCTTTTGAAAAATGGATATCACTGGCATGTTCCAGAGCATGGAGACTAATCACAAATCCAACAGTGTGGGTTTGAGGAACAGTGAATGGCTATGGCCTATTCTGTCTCAGGCATGGGTCAGGCCAGGAGCTTTGAGATGAATACCTAAGTTGTCATGTACCCCAGACTGAGAAGGGAAACATCAGCTCCATGTTGTAACTGAGGAGGTTACAACACTTAGCAAGTGTGAGAGGGCATAAATCCTGGGTTGCTAGGTGCTGATGGGTCATGCCTATAATCCTAGATATTCAGGAGGCTGAGATCTAAGAATCATGATTGGAAGCCAACTCAGACAGAAAAGTCCTTGAGAGGAAGCCCCAGTATTGGCAGGCACAAAATTATATACATATATATATTATATATAATTATTTAAATTATATATATATATAATATATATGGTTTCCAGCTCTCTGGTGGTGCTCAGACAATTCTTTGCATTTCTACTATGTTCATAGCTATTCTTCTTTTTCTTTCTTTTTTTTCTTTCGTTCTTTTTTTTGTTGTTGTTGGTTGTGGGGCTTGAACTCTGGGCTTGGGCGCTCTCCCTCAGCTCTTCAGCTCAAGGCAAGCACCCTACCACTTGAACCACAGCACCCCACTTCCAGTTTTCTGGTAGTTTATGGGAGATAAGAATGTCACAGATGGGCTGGGAAGGTGGCTCAGTGGTAGAGCGCTTGCCTTGCATGCACGAGGCCCTGGGTTCGATTCTCAGCACCACATAAACAAAAAGAAAAAAGGTGGAAGTGGTGCTGTGGCTCAAGTGGTAGAGTGCTAGCCTTGAGCTGAAGAGCTGAGGGACAGGGCCCAGGCCCAGAGTTCAGGCCCCACAACTGGACCCCCCCCCAAAAAAAAGAATGTCACGGACTTTCCTGCCCAGGCTGGTTTTGAACCGTGATCCTCAGATCTCAGCCTCCTGAGTAGCTAGGATGACAGGCATGAGAATCTGCGAAGAGTTTCCTGGGTCCTGAGGATAAGAACAATACAGTCCCTGCTCAGGAATTTTTTTAAACTCCCCTGGGAGAGCTGGTACCATCTCCTTTTGACAAATGGAGAAGCAGACCTGCCCAAGGTAATTTGAGAGCCAAGTAAGAGTGGGGATGAATGAGGAGAAGCTAATCTGGGACCTGGTGCTCTAGAACCAGCTCCTTCCCGGCTGAGGTACCTGAACATGTCAACAAGCTGCTTATAGGGAAGGAGCAACAAATTACATCCCTTGCATGTGGGTTGCTGACATACTGCAAATGTCTGAGATGGTAAATATGTGGTGTGTTGTTCTAAGCATGGTACTCTGGGAGCTCCTGACAGATAATTGGCATAATTGGCTCTCCATGTCTCTCTTGTCACTAGACTTGTTGCCTAGATTGTCACTTTCTTGTTATTGTGCCAGTTTGTATGTGTTTTGGGGGGAGGGAGTAATTGCAGCTTGAACTCAGGGCCTGGGCACTGTCCCTTAGCTATTTTGCTCAAGGCTGCTGCTCTACGATATGAGCCACAGCTCTACTTCTGGCTTTCTGGAGGTCAATTGGAGATCAGAATTTCATTGACTTTCTTCTGTGGGCTGGCTTTGAACCACATTCTTCAGATCTCAGCCTTCTGAGTAGCTAGGATTGCAGGCATGAGCCACAGACACCCAGCGATTATACCAGTTTTATTCTAGTTCTGAAATGGTCAAGGTCCCTTTATAAGCAGATGGGAGGGGAGCTTGGGTATTAAACCATTTAATCACTCCTTCCCAGATCTAACAAATATTATGGCCACATCTCGAAACTACGAACAACTGCTATGGGTCTGGAAGAGCTGGAGAGACCAGGTGGGGAAAACCATCCTCCCTTTTTTCCCCAAATATGTGGAACTTGCCAACAAGGCTGCTCGACTCAATGGTGAGTTTCCCCTGTCAGTTACCATTGGCTTTCTGGTCCCTTTGTCCCTGCCACCATCAGGCTCCTCAATCCTGGGTAAAAGTAGGTCCCTGGAAATAGCATGGAACTACCAGGAGGAGAAAGAGGCAGTATTGGGAGAGCCTGACTGTGTCCCCTGTGCAGGCTACACTGATGCAGGGGACTCCTGGAGATCTATGTATGAGACACCATCCCTGGAACAAGACTTGGAGAAGCTCTTCCAGGAGCTGCAGCCGCTCTACCTGAACCTGCATGCCTATGTGCGCCGCGCCCTGCACCGGCATTATGGGGACCAGAGCATCAGCCTCGAGGGCCCCATTCCTGCCCACCTGCTGGGTAAGGGCATGCATGTGGCTTGAGGAGGGGAAAGGTGGGCAGTAGCGAGGGTCTAGGCAGGGCTGTCCAAAGGGCAAGAGAGCAGGCTGGGATAGTGGTAGAATTCAAGCACTGAAGGGAACGTGGCCAAGGCTAGTGGAATAGGGGGCCGGGAGAAGCACCCTGCTCTCATTTGGTGATATGTTTCTTTTGGCGGTGTTGGACCTTGGCCAGGCCAGGCAGGGGTTCTATTAGTGTGCCACAATCCACCTCCCTGTGTGGACCATATTTGCTACAGAGCCATGTTGTGCAAGTTGCCACAGATGGATGGGGGGAAAAAGTTCACGATCTTGTTAGGGGGAGGAACACATTACCCATCATGCCTCAAGACAGTGAGCTCTGGAAGCAGAGGAGTAGGGGTTGAAAAGGTTCCACATGAGCAGCATCTTGAAAGGTAGAATGGAAAATGGTGGTAGGGAAGAGGACAGAGTCTGGGCCGATGGAACTCAACCAAAGAAGAATATACCTTACTCTCCAGACCCTTAGTTTCCTAGGGTTTCGACCCTCAATTTTCTCTGGATGTGCAAAAAGCACATTAGGATGGTAGGAACTAGAGAAAAGTTGATGCTGCCAGTTTTTGCCCCTGGTGGGCAAACAGTTTCCTGAGGGCCATGTTATTATGAGCAGAGAGGCCAGACAGGGCCACACACCACTTAGAAGTTACAAGGGAGACTCTACAATGTTGTCCAGCTATGGATCTTAGGTCTCACCCACCAGTCCTCCTTGATCTCTCTCTAGAGAGACCAGATGGCTCCTGAGGGGCTGGGGATATATGCCAGTACTTGCCTGGCATGTGAGACAAACTGGGTTCAAAAAGGAACATCTGAGTGGACATCATCAGCTTAGCAGTTAAGAAACATAGACCCTACCCAGGAGAGGGGTCAGCATGCCCAGGGTAGCCTGAGAGCAGGGCAGAGCCGGGGCTTAGAATTCAGCTCCTGGCAACCAGCAGAGGAGGAGCCGCCAGGCAGGCACTCCAGTCACTCAGAGATACTTGTCATCCCGCAGTTGCTGACTGTCACAGAACTCATCTGTGTCCACTCAAGCACTCTGCCTTGGCTATGAAAGGTTCCTAACTATGCATCTATTTTGGAATCTCCCACCTATTTTAGATTTAGGTTTGTTTCAGTTCACTTCCTGTTCTTTCTCCGGTCTTGGAGAATTGGGCTCTTTTATTAACACAGCTTCCTAGGCATTCACCTCTCCCAAAGGAGACAATTAGTTCTTGCCAGAGTTGCCAACAGCTGCTGTACATAAGCCAATCTCAGGGGGTAGGGAGGGAACTGAGCAGGGTGGATGGACAAGAGCCTACCAGCCTTTAAATCCAGACTCACTGTGCAGGAATTATGCACAGGAACTGCGCAGGGTTGCTAACTCCACAGCCAATTTCCTCTGCTACATAGTGGGTACAAATGGGGTTATAACCTGACAGTGTGCTTGGCAGAGTAATCAGGAAGTGGTGGCCATGTGGAGAAGGACAGATGATGCAAAATGTCCTCAGATGTAAGATTCCTCCACTTTTGATTCCTGATGACCAGCAAGATCCTTACCTGTAACCAACATGGTAATGACCTTGTAAGCCAAAGGTGCAGCACATCCAAGCATGGTGGCACATGCCTGTAATCTTAGTACATGGGAGGCTGAGGCAAGAGGATTGTACATTCCATATAGCAAGACCTTGACTTAAAAGTGTCTAGCACAGTTTGCAAACAGTAAGTGCTCAAGAGATACCACTACAATTGGCAGGCCTGGGATCCGGCTCCTTGTCCTGCACGAGAGCATTAAACCTAAAAAGGCCACATCTGAGTCAGGTGCCAGTGGCTCAGGCCTGTAATCCTACCTATACAAGAGGCAAAGATCAGAGGATCACAGATTGAAACCAGTCACAGCAAGGAAGTTTATGAGACCCTTATCTCCAGTTAACCACCAAATAGCTGGAAGTGGAGCTGTGGCTCAAATGGAACAGCATCAGTCTTGAGCAAAAAAGCTAAGAGATAGCCCTCAGGCCCTGAGTTCAAACTCCAGTACTGGTGCTCACACACACACACACACACACACACACACACACACACACACATACACACACAAAACACACCTGTCTCCTCTCTTCCACCTCTTTCTCACCTGCCTCCAGGGAACATGTGGAGTCAGACTTGGTCCAACATCTATGACTTGGTGGTGCCCTTTCCTTCAGCTCCTAAGATTGATGCCACAGAGGCCATGGTAAAGCAGGTCCGTATGGCTAAGCTCCTCTTCCTCCGTGGGTCACCCTGGAATTTCCAAGGGGAAGTCCTTGCTGGGATGGGAGAGTCCCTCTGATTGAGCCAGGCCCTCCATCCTGGCACTCTCCCAGTCCCTACTGTCATCCTGCCACACAGCCTGTCTTCAGAGCCCCCAGTTTGGGCAGAACTCTCTCTTGCTTGTAGGGCTGGACACCCAGAAGGATGTTTAAGGAAGCCGACAATTTCTTCACCTCCCTGGGGCTGCTGCCTGTACCCCCTGAGTTCTGGAACAAGTCGATGCTGGAGAAACCGACTGATGGGCGGGAGGTGGTGTGCCATGCCTCAGCCTGGGACTTCTACAACGGCAAGGATTTCAGGTCTGTCTGTGTGGAATGAGAGGGTCTTATCCTCAGCTCAAGGGCAAGGAGCTCAGCAAAGTCAAGGTCTGTCCCCATTCTCAATGCTAAGAGCAAGAACGATCAGGGCAGTTTAGAACCAAGTTTGGGATCCAGAAGCAAAAAGGTTAGTTCCAGCCTTAAGATTCTAACAGAGAAACACAAATGAAGGTTCCCCTCAAGTGCTGGCCAGCCTCTGTCAGTGCAGTCAGTTGGAGAATGCTCGAGAACCTGGTCCTAGGAGTGACATTGTACAGACTCCTAGCCTCCCCCAAATGTACCTAGCTCTTTCCCTGGGCACTGTACTGGGTTGCACATGAGGTTGTTAGAACTTCACATGAACCCATTCCCATCACTGGCAGATCAAAGCTGCCTTCATCAGAATAGAGTTTAATTACCTGTGCCACATTCATAATAAACTATTTAAGAAATTAGTAGTACCAAAAAAAACCATATGGTCAGGTGTAGTGGTACATGCCTTTAATCCCAACACTTGGAAATCTATAGTTAGCCTGGATTATATAATGAGACCCTGTCTCAAAAGCAAAACAAAAACAGCCATTGGATTATGACTATGAGTATGTGGACCTGGAATTTAGGTAATCAATGCACAGTGGAAATGGCTTATTCCTTACTCCACCATAATGGGGACCTTAGTTGGTGTGTGTGTGTGTGTGTGTGTGTGTGTGTGTGTGTGTGTGTGTGTGTGTGTGTGTGTGTGTGCGCGTGCGCGCACGTGCATAGGGTCTCATATATGGTAGGAAAGTACCATTGAGCTACATCTCCAGCCCCAGCTGGGGTAGTTTTAGTGGCTGAAGTAACTGTTCTGGGGCCATCTTCCCAAAGCTTGGCTGTTCTTCCTTCCCTATTTTGCTATCGACTGAGATCCTTGGTGTTTCTCCATGTCCCTTGTCTAGGGTGGGATGTTCAAGTTGACCTCTCTGCTCACACACAGGGTGCTGACTGGATGACCAGCTAAGAGCTGCCTTGTGATCCCTCACAGTGTGTCAGTCTCAGGCAGACAGATTCATTGCCTGACAGCTGGCAACCCTCAGAAGCTGCTAAAGGCAAAGCCTTTGAGAGTCATGTTACATTATTATATTTTTATTTTTTGTTAGTGCTGGGACTTGAAATCAGGGCCAGCTTATCTACTCAAGGCTAGCATTCTACCACCTGAGCTACTTTTCACTGATTATTAGAGATAAGAGTCTCATGCACTTTCCTGCCTGGGCTGCTTTGAACCACAGTCCTCAGATCTCAGCCTCCTGGGTAATTAGGATTATAAGGTGTGAACCACCAGTGCCCAGCTTGTCATATTCTATTGTCTATGTTTTAAAGCTAGACTTATGGACAACCTAGATCCAAAAGAAGGGACAAAAGATGCTACATCTAGTGGGGAAGTAGCTAAGATAATCACTTCTTGAGAAGCCTAAAACACAAACAAAAAACAGACACAATTCACTAGACTGCCTGGCTTTGAGTCCTTCAAAAACATGGAGACTGGGTCTGGGAAGGTGGCTCGGTAGTAGAGTGTTTGTCTTGCATACATGAGGCCCTGGGTTCGATTCCTCAGCACCACATAAGCAGAAAAAGCCGGAAGTGGGGCTGACGCACAAGTGGTAGAGTGCTAGCCTTCAGCTGAAGAGCTGAGGGACAGCGCCCAGGCCCAGCTTTCAGGCCCCACAACCGACCAAAAAAAAAGCGGGGGGGGAGGGGACCGTAGTTGTCAGGTTATAAAGTAGGCAGAATCAAAGAGGGTAAAAGCATGTCAGAAGAGGAACTAATCAGACCCAACCTCATGCTGGACTTGAACTACAAGGCAGGTGCTTGGTTACATCCAAGGAGAACTTCCTGCAATTGGAAGAAAACAAGGGTGAAACCTGACTTGGACAATTCTGCAGCTGTCAGTCAATCTTAGGCCTAAGAATTCTTCATATACACTCACTAGGGTTGGACTGCATGAGATGGAGAATAGCCAGACATCATTTCCCTGAGGAACTATCTCCAGAGCAAATGAGAAAGCAACGGACAGTTGAGGCTGAAGAATGGCTGGAATGACTAGGGACTTCTCGTGCCCCGATTTCCTCTTTCTCAGGCTCACTTGATCTCTCCCTTTTACTTTCCTTCCCATGTATATTCCCTGCACACAGCAGTGTCCCTCTTCTGACACCCTCTCTCCCCATCCCCGTGTCCCCAGGATCAAGCAGTGCACCACTGTCAACATGGAAGAGCTGGTGGTGGCCCACCACGAAATGGGTCACATCCAGTATTTCATGCAGTACAAGGACTTGCCTGTGGCCTTCCGGGAGGGCGCCAACCCTGGCTTTCATGAGGCCATTGGGGATGTGCTGGCCCTCTCTGTGTCTACTCCCAAGCACCTACACAGCATCAACCTGCTGGAGCATGAGGGCGGTGGCTACGGTGCGAGAGGGACAAGGAGATCTTGGTGGACTGAGGGCCCGGAAGGGGCAGGGAGTTGGGAGGTGGCCCATTTGCAGGGAGGTTTGGGACAGAGCAATGGTGGGAGAAGAGGACCCCAACAGGGTAAGCCTAAGAGGTTGGAACACGCAGACCATTCCAAGGGACAGGTTTCAGAGTCTAAAGAGGTACAGCGCCCTGCTCCCCTTTGCCCATTGGGACTGAGATTCTAAGCCCTGGAAGGAGGCTGAGCTCTCTTCCCTTAACAGAGTATGACATCAACTTTCTGATGAAGATGGCCCTGGACAAGATCGCCTTTATCCCCTTCAGCTACCTCATCGACCAGTGGCGCTGGAGGGTCTTTGATGGATCCATCACCAAGGAAAACTACAACCAGGAGTGGTGGAGCCTCAGGTTCTAGAACATTCCACCTAGGGTTGTGGGTTAGAGATGTCATCTAAAGGATGTCTGTGTGTGCTTTCATGGCTGCAGATGGGCCACTATCTGTGTGTGTGTGTGTGTGTATGTGTGTGTGTGTGTGTGTGTGTGTGTAAGTGATTGGAGGGATCTCAAGGGATCTGTTTACAGGATTACAGGATGTTCAGTGTAATCCTAAATGCAAGTACCATCCTTCCAGTAAAACTTCCAACCTTCCTCCAGCTAAGTTCTCCCTAAATGCTCCCTCCAATATGTCTTCCCTTGACAGGCTGAAGTACCAGGGTCTCTGCCCCCCAGTACCCAGAACTCAAGATGACTTTGACCCAGGGGCTAAGTTCCATGTTCCTTCAAGTGTGCCTTATATCAGGTAATTGGGAAAGGGAGGTGCATGGGGAGGAGGGTACTGCCCAAGTCTTAATGTTTAAACTGCAATCTGCTGCCCCATCCCAAAGCTGTGGGAACGGGGACATGACACATGGTGCCTGGGCCCAATGCCTGCTGCTAAACCTGAAGATGCTTCCTTTAAATATTTTTTGGATGAGAGCCTGTGTCATCTAACCTGTTGAAAAACAGAAACTTAACCTACGTTTCCAGAACCTCACTGAGTAGTTAACATTAGCCATGGTACATGTCTGAATGGTAATTGAATGCTATCAGTTGTTCATATTGTTGTTGTTGTTGTTGTTGCCATTTGCACCAGTTATACAGGGATGTTTGTGTTGATGTGTCTATTTATGTATATAATACATCATGATCATTTTCTCTCCACTCCACACTCCCTTCCAAGACCAGTCTCTCTGCAAGCTTTATCATTCCATTTTCACACATAAAACAGAAAAATATTTTAACCATATTCACCCTTCACCCTCTGGTGGTTTTGTTTTTAAAACAAGTATGTGGTTTCTTTGCTACAATTTAACAAAATTGGGTGTGATATACTTTGAGTTGCACCTCAAAGATCCTTCTATAGCCTAAAACCTAGGACTGGAGACCCAGCTCAGCTGGAAAGCAGGGTTACTAGGGGAAGACTTGGGGTCAAAGCTCAGGTCCATGACAGTTTCCTTCAGCAATGTCCTCCACCTCTGTGAGCATCTGTTTCCTCTCCTTGATCTCATTTCACAGAGTGGCCATGAGGGCTCCTATGTCCCTAGAAGGCTGAGGGTCAGGTGGCCCTGGTCTACCATTGTTAAATACTCTCCTGCACTAGCCTGTAGATCATATGCTCACAGAGTGGAAGTGCCCGGTGTAGCCCTTCTCCTTCCCTGATCTCCAGGCCAGCACTTGCTGAAGGCGAGGAAGGATATGTGAAGGACCCAGAGTCCTCCTAGATGATCATGGGCTGGGGAGACCTCAGGGAGGAGTTCCAGGTGTCTTTGGGCCACAGGGAGCGCAGGCTACCCAAGAATCAAGGAGAAGCTCTCAGAAGGACTGTGCTTACCTCTAATCCTTTGCTTTGGTTTTATTTTTGTGCTTGTACTGGGCCTCAAGTGCTCTTACTTAGCTTTTTCACTCAAGCCTGGCATCTACTATTTGAGCCACACCTCCACTTTGGGAGTTCATTGAAATAAGAGTCTTCTCACAGATTCTTCTGACTAGGCTAGCTTCAAACCTCAACCCTCAGATCTCAGCCTCTTGAGTAGCTAGGATTTACAGGTGTGAACCACCAGCACCTGGCTGATCTGTGCTTCTGATGGTCTCTAAAAGCCTGTTGAGGCCAGTCTTATTGCCTCACTTTCCATCCTGGCACCTGAAACAATGCTATGCACGGAGGATGAGTAAAGCCTGCCCTCCTACCCCCACCTCCCCCAAGCTTGGGAAGGGAAGAGTGCATCACCTGCTCAGAGGTCAGAATGAGGAGCAGGAGGCTGAGGACCAAGGCACATCAGACAGGCTTGGCCCAGATATTGCCTCAGGAATGACTCTTAGGAGGTTTCCAGATACCTACTAGAGCTGTTTCTAGGGCTCCAGGACAGCACTCACTCTCACCCTGAAGTCAGCCATGTGGCACTTAGCAGCCCAGTTGAGCATGGACAATTAACTAGTCAGGGGTGAGCAAAGGAGACTCGGCTGCCCTAGAAAGAGACATCCTGAATCCTGGCCAGCAGCCTGAGCAAAGAGCTTTGGGGAAATGCCAGGGGAACAAGTGGCACATGGCTTATGCCCAGCGTTCAAAGGGAGAAGCCTGTGCTGTTGGTTGGGACATTTAAATCCTCTCCAGACTTGGCAAGGTTGCTCTGGCTCTGACCAACAGATTTCTACCAGAGATTTTCTGCTGCTCGGGCTAAGACTGTGTGGGCTTTTCTCCCTACCCACACAGTCTTGCCAGATCCACATGAGCCGCTAGCCTCTACTTGCATACGTCCCAGAGACAGAGACCTCACGGCCTCAAAACAGCTTACCATGCCTTTGCAGGGCTCTACTCCAAACCTGCTCCTGCGGGCTTCTCCTTCAGCCCCAGAGGCAAAGGCAGATTCATGGTTGGGTGGCATCTATCTATATAGGCATTGCTGGGAAGAGACTTGGACAGCTCCAAAGGCCAGAATGCACTCACCTTGATATCCTGACTGCATCTTGCTCTGCTGAGTGTCCCCTGTGTGTCACAGACAGAAGGGGCTGGGTCTCCACGACACATGCCCCTCCACCCACTCTATATCATGCCTTCATCCCATTCCAGGTACTTTATCAGCTTCATCATTCAGTTCCAGTTCCACGAAGCCCTGTGCCAGGCAGCTGGCCACAAAGGCCCCCTGCATAAGTGTGACATCTACCAGTCCAAGGAGGCAGGGAAGCTGTTGGCGTGAGTGTCCTCCAGCCCTCCTGTGACTGTTTCCATCCTCTAGCCTGAAACCCTTGAGGAACCCCCCCCCTTTTCTATCTGGAAACACCTGCCATTTGGGCTCTTGAGCTGGGAACCACCCCACCCTCGCCCCACTCCCAGCTGCAGCTTCTGTTGTACTTACATAGAAAATGTGAGCGCCTTCCCCTCCCCCCACAAGACCCAGTCCTTCCTTCCCTGTCTTTGCCCCATCCCCGCCTCAGGCCCTCTCAATCCTAAAGAGAAGTTGAGGGTGGGAGAGGGGTATAAAGAAAGGATACCATGGTTGAGCTAGGGAGATCAGGTTCTTTCTGACTCAGTTTTTCTCTCTCTGGCACCTTCCCCAGGGACACCATGAAGCTGGGCTTCAGTAAGCCATGGCCAGAGGCCATGAAACTGATCACAGGCCAGCCTAACATGTCAGCCTCAGCCATGTTGAACTACTTCAAGCCATTGATGGAATGGCTCATCACTGAGAACGGGCGACATGGGGAGAAACTGGGTTGGCCGCAGTACAACTGGACACCAAACTCCGGTACCACCACCCACCCCACCTCCAGCCCTAGGCCCAGACCCCACAGCTCACCCAGTGCTGAGCCCTCTCCCCAGTCCAGGCAGGCTCCAGTCTGACTTCACAGCAAGGTCAGGGATGCCAGAACACATGGCCCCAGGCAGCCCATCGCCCTGCCCACTGCCCTGTCTCCTTGCTTCCCCGCCCAGCTCGCTCGGAAGACTCCTTCCCAGACTCCGGCCTCGTCAACTTCCTGGGCATGAATCTGGAGCCACAGCAGGCCCGAGTGGGTCAATGGGTGCTGCTCTTCTTGGGGGTCGCCCTGCTGGTAGTCACCTTGGGCCTGGCCCAAAGGGTCTGCAGCATCCGCAGTCACACCTTCCACCAGCCCCACCATGGGCCCCAGTTTGGCTCTGAGGTGGAGCTGAGACACTCTTGAGATGACCAAGATGGCTGGGGCTTGCCAAGGGATGTCCCATGAGAAACCAGAACGGGAACAGGATGCCCAAGGAGAAGGCAGCTCCACCTCCCTCCCTCCTCCTTCTTTCCTTCTTCCCCCTCCTCTTCCTCTCATTCTGCCTCCCTCCCCTCTGCTCCTCAGACCACCAGAATCACCCAAGTCCCAGCCTCCATTCTTCAGGCACCCAGCCATCAAACACAGGGCTTCTCCCCTAGTCTCTCTGTGAATGCAATTAAAAGTCCTGCCTCCCCATCTGAGTCTGTGTCCCTCACAGTTGGAAGCCAGGAAGAGGGTCAGCGTGCTCTCTTGCTCTCTCTCTTTCTCCTGGCAGTTCAGTGGTGCCCTTTCCTCATGGCTTCCTCCATTCCCTTTCAAGAAAAGCCTTGGTGAATCTCCCAACTCTGGCTTCCCACCAGCTCAGGCACCCATACCCGTGTCCTGCTGTGGTGGGCAGCTCCTGCCCTCTCAGGATCCTCAGGAGGCTTCTGGGATCATAGGATTCTCACATGTTGATGCAACTTTCTGCCCATGCATGGTCAGGTTCCCCTAGCTGCCCCTGGCTTCGTCTGCAGGGCAAGTACCCTGGAAGGGCCTGACTCAAAGAGGTCATCTTGAGCTCCTGCCTATACCAGCTCTGTGTCCACTTGTGTGAATGGACAGCCTTAGTTTTCAGACAGAGCTATTCAGATATTGCCTAGGAGAGAAGGCCCTGGAAGGGAGTTCCCTGGACAGGGATGATACAGGGTTAACTGCCAGAGGCTGCCTGCTTGCTCTTCCCAGCACACACATTCTCACTAGGAGCTGTCCCTGGGAAGGCCTGCTTAGATTTCAGAGAATGTCATTTTGAGGGACATTTTTATAACTTTTCTCTCCGTGTTTATGTAGAAAATTTAAAATACTATAAATAAAAGCACTTTATATCAACATCAAGAGATGAGCACTGTGGATATTTTGACATATTATCTTCCCCGGCCTTTTTTTTATTCTCTCTCTCTCTCCCTCCCTCCCCCATGCACTTATTTTAAATAGGATCATACTTTTTTACACTGGTATATTTTTTCTCATGTAACATAACTATACCTTTTTCAGATATTTATTCAGCAAACCTAGAAGTTGGCTAAAAGGAAACTGGTCATTTTTCTGGACATATTTTTTTTGGCCTAGCCTCTTCTGGTCAGTGTTAATATCTTAATTCCAGCAAGTTTCAACCTCCAATTCTAATATCCTTAAGTCCACAGTTATGGCTCCCCAATCTCCAAGCACAATGTGAGTGTGGTATGTGTGTGAGTGTTTTACACAGGCTTTTCCCATGGTACAGGATGTGGTGTTGAGGAATCGTGCGTTTACAAGGCGCTGGAAGTTTACAATTCAGTAGGACAATGGAACACATAAACACATACTCTGAATCTATCCCAGCCATCCACATCCACACACTGTTTTAGTTGTCCACACCCCTTCCCAGCCAGTGTTTTGCGAGCTGTTTGTCTACCAGACAAAGGTCATTGTCACATGAACCCCCTTTCCTATTATTATGAACCATAGAGGTTCATGCTGCCTGTCAGAATTTTGGGGCAGCTTGTGGGCACCAACTTTCTACATTCATAGTCAGAGCTACTTTAGAAGGAGCTTGGTGATTAGACTGACGAGCTATATCCAGTCAACTGTGTGTGTGTGTGTGTGCGTGTGTGTGTGTGCGTCAGTACCAGAGCTTGAACTTCAAGCTTGGGTGCTGGCCCTTAACTTTTTCTGCTCAAGGCTGAGGTTCTACTGAGCCACCAACTCAATTTCCAGCTTTTTGCTGGTTAATTGGTAATAGTCTCACAAACTCTTCTGCCCAGGCTGGCTTTGAACCTTGATCTTCAGATCTCAGTCTCCTGAATAATGAGGATTACATGAATGAGCCATGATGGGTGCCTGGCTCCACTCAACTTTTTTGTTGGCAGTATTAGAGTTTGGTTTCAGGGTCTCACATTTTTCAGACAGGTGCACTACCACTTGAGCCACAGCCTGAGACCTCAATTTGTTTTCTGTGTTTGTTTGTTTCTTGGGTTTTTGTGGGAAGGGGGTATTCCTTTTTCATTTTTCTTTTTTTCCCTTTTGCACCACGGTTCAGACTCAGGTTTCTGATCTTTCTTGGCTTTTTCAATCACAACAGATGCTCTGCTACTTGGGCCATACCTCCACTTCCGGCTTTTGGAAGCTAATTGGAGATAATTTGCCTTGGTTTCAGCCTCTTACGTGAGCTACTAGTTCTCCATTCAACGTTTTGAAATACAATTATTCAAATGCCTGTTTATGCTTTCTTGGGTGAGTTGGGAGAGGCCAGGGCCATCTGGAGATGGTTACGGGAAGACATAGTAATGGAAGAAGACCTCTAGCACTGTTTCTCTGCTGCCCCTGAAGTTGGAGCTCTTCCTGATGCTTCACCCTCAAGGCAGCTTTTCAGTGACCCTATGCTGGGCAAAGGTGTTATAGATGCTAGATCTCTGTTTCTCTATCCCTTCCCAATCTCCTACTCTTCCTCCAGCTCCCCACTCCCACTAGCCCTGGATTTCACATGAATAAAGCAGCCTTTAACTAACTGGAGGCCAATTCTACCTCAACACTTACTGGGTTTGTAACCATACATTGTTTACTTCCATTTCCTGAGGCTGTGGTTTTTACATCTATGAAGTGGGTATTATAAGCCAGGTGCTGATAGCTCATACCTGTAATCCTTTTCAGGAAGGTGAGATCTGAGGATCATGATTCAAAGCCCCAGCTGAGGCAGAAAAGTTTGAGACCCTTATCTGTAACAAAAGACCAGAAGTGGAGGTATGGCTCAAGTGGTAGACCACCATGAGTGCATTCTTGTCACCCTTGTCAAGATGTTCCATATGCTACTACATTCCCCAAGTCAAAGACAGGCCAAGATCAACCCTTCTCTAGAGACAGAGAGAGAGAGAAAGAGAGGAGGATGGGGGGAGGGAGGAGGGTAGGGACAGAGCAATTGGGTGGCTACACTGGATGAAAAACTGGAGTCTGTGTTCTCCCCAAACCAACAGAGGACTTTCTCAAGCAGTAAGTTTATCACTGAACTTCCGGTGCACTGATTTCTTCCTGGAGCCCCACAGCTTGGAGCTGTTTTCTCCTCTGTCCCCTAATTCTTGCTCATGTTTCTTTCCTGTGCATGCACCAAGATTTTTTTCCCCCAGCTGTGTCTTCTGCTTTTCAGCCTATGGCTTAACCCTTGTCCACTGAAGTTTTGGTTCTTCAAATTTTCCTTTCTAAGAATTTTTATTTTGATAGGTTTGTGCATTCTTTTTTTCAATTTTCAAAATTAAATTAGCCATGTTTTCCATGTAAAGCATGTTTCTTTCAAATCTGCTGTCTTTCATGGAAGTCTGTTCCTTCACAGATTCTGATCCTGTCATTTCAAAGATATGTTTCAATTTATTTTGTTTGTTTGTTTGTTTGTTTTTCTAGTCCTGGGGCTTGAACTCAGGGCCTGGGCACTGTCCCTCAGCTCCCTTTGCTCAAGGCTAGCACTCCATCACTTGAGCCACAGCACCCTTCTGGCTTTTTCTGTTTCTGTGGTACTGAGGACTCGAACCCAAGGTTTCACACATGCTAGGCAAGCACTCTACCACTAAGTAACATTCCCAGCCCTATGTTATTTTATTTTGTGACAGGATCTCATTCAGTTTCCAGGCTGGCCTGAGGCTTGTGATCTCACTGACCTCAGCTGCTCAGCTCAGGTACCTGGGTATGTAGGCATGACCCATTGAACCTGTTTCTATAGGGTATTTTTGTTTAATTATGGTAAAATATATCAGTTGCATCATAACCTTTTTTTAAAACTGCTTTTTTGTTTTTGTCATTTTTGGTATTGAGGACTGAACTCAGAGCATTGAACTTGGTAGGCAAGTGCTTTGCACTGAGATACACCCAGTTTTAAAATAGATTTACATTTAAAATAGAGTTGTATTTTTGATATATAATTTCTTTCTAGCATTCGGGATTGAACCCAGGGCCTTTCAAATACTAATGCTTCAGTTCCATTTTAACTCATGTGTATGTGTGCGTGCGTGTGTGTGTGTGTGTGTGTGTGTGTGTGTGTGTGCTGATACTGGGTCTTGAACTCTGTATCTGGGAATTATCCCTTAGTTTTTTCTCTTAAGGCTAGCACTCTACCACTTGAGCCACAGCTCCACTGCCTGGATTCTTCTAAAATTTTTAAAAATAAATTTTGCTTTTTCCTTCAGCCTTTTATTCTATACCTCCCAACCCCCACTTCTACCTTTTGTGCAAGTTCTAGTACTTGACCTCAGGGCCTAGGCACTGTCCCTTAGCCTTTTTACTCAAAGCTGGTGCTCTACCACCAGCTTTACTTCTGTTTTTTGCTGGTCAATTGGAGATAAGACTCATGGACTGTCCTGACTGAGCCAGCTTTGAATCAAAATCATCAGATCTCAGCCTCCAAAGTAGCTAGGGTTACAGTCGTGAGCCAGTAGCTAGTTAATTTTTGTATTTCACATAAAGTCCCTTTCTATTGATGAGACCTGTCTTTCCTCAGTGTTGTCTGTTCCCTTCAATATGTCTAATTTGAACCAAGTGCTGGTAGCTCAGGCCTATAATCCTAGCTACTCAGTAGGTTGAGATCTAAGGATCAGGGTTTGAAGTCAGCCTAGGCAGGAAAGTCTGTGAGACTATAATAAACAACCAAAAAAGCTGGAAGTGGCGCTGTGGCTCAAGGGCCAGAGTGCTACTCTTGAGCAAAAGAAGCTTAGAGACAGCACCCAAGCCCTGAGTTCAAGCCCCAGGACAAGAAAAACAAAAGTCTAATTCAGAATAGGCTCTACGACCAGATCATGTGGATTTAAATCCCACCTTCAGTATTTGGTAGCTGTCTGTAAGAAAATTCAGTCTCTCTTTAGCTGATCGAAGTACCTACTTGATGGATTTATCAAGATTCTGTTGCTGAATGACACCTAATGATACCTAACACCTACAAAGTGCTTAGTAGGGAATTGGTTATTGCCATTATCTCTCCTGACACTATTTTTTTCCCTACTTAATAAGCTTGACTTAATGAACCATCCCCAGTTGTAACAGACTCTTGCAAGGTTCTCAACACATCTGCTTTTTTTTTCTTTCAAATTTCCACAGGGGAGGGCTGGGAAGGTGGCTCAGTGGTAGAGCGCTTGCCTTGCATGCATGAGACCCCGGGTTCGATTCCTCAGCACCACATAAGCAAAAAGAAAAAAGCCGGAAGTGGCGCTGTGGCTCAAGTGGTAGAGTGCTAGCCTTGAGCCGAAGAGCTGAGGGACAGCACCCAGGCCCAGAGTTCAGGCCCATGACTGGACCCAAAAATAAATAAACAAACAAATTTCCACAGGGGAAAACAAAGCATCTCCTGGCTCCCAGCGTGATGGAGGCATTACTTCCACTTATAGGAAGTGACCAGCTGCTCCACACAGGGACCAAGGCTGCAGCTCTGTGGGTGCAGGCATTGTAACAGCTTGTGTGATGGAAGCCACCAGGCTTCAGCCTCACTCAGTGCTTCCACTCACCGCCTGTTCATCTCCAGCATCGGAAAAGTTCTCTTTCTTGCTTTATACCTCAGCTCTGCCTCTCTCTCTCTCTCTCTCTCTCTCTCTCTCTCCTTTTTTTCCCCAGTCCTGAAGACTTGAGCCACAGCACCGCTTCTGGTAGTTTATTAGAGATAAGAGTCTCAAGGACTTTTCTGCCCAGGTTGGCTTCAAACCACAATCCTCAGATTTCAGCCTCCTGAGTAACTAGGATTACAGGTGTGAGCCTGTAGCACCCACATGCTTTTTGTATTTTCAAAATCCTATATTTCACAGGGATAGTGGCATACATCTGTATTCCCTGTACTCCAGAAGCCAAGGCAGGATGACTAGGCCAGCCTGGGCTGCATAACAAGCTGAAGGCTAGCTTGAACTACCTAGAGAGATTTTGGCCAGGAACTGGTGACTCATTCCTGTAATCCTAACTACTTAGGAAGCTGAGATCTGAGGATCACAATTTGAAATCAGTTCCACCAGGAAAGTTTGTAGGACTCTCATCTCCAATTAGCCACCAAAATGCTGGAAATGGAGCTGTAGCTCAAATGTTAGAGTGCTAGCCTTGAATAAAAAAAAGCTCAGGGACAGCACTTAGACCCTGAGTTCAAGCCCCAGGACTAGCACATATATACAAAAATGTCCTACGCTTTTTCCCCCCTCACTATGTTGACCAGGCTGATCTTGAACTCATAATCTCCCTAGCATTAGAGGCACAGTAGACACTGTGCCTGGCATTCAAAATTCTGTATTTTATAAAATATGTCTATATGTTGAAAGCAAGAGGAAGACTACAATGAGATCTCAGCCAATCAGACTAACCAGAATCAGTGACTTTTTTCTCCCTTAAATTTTAAAATATATTTTTGATGGCTGGAAGCATACTTCAAATTATAGAGTGTTTGCTTAGTAAGCATGAGGCCCTGGATTCAATTCTCAATAGTAATTAATTAATTTGACTGCATGGATCATGTTTTTATTAATTTTTAAATTGTTATTATAAAGATAGAAAAGGGTTATGGTGATGTATGTCAGGTAACAAGTATATTTATTTTTGGACAATGCCACCCCTTCCCTTACTCTCTCCTAGCTTCCCCCCTGCCCCCGCATCACCACAAGTTGTATAGTTCATTTTCAACATAGTGTCTAGTGAGTACCACTATTACATTTATTCATCCTTTGTCCTTCCATTTCTGTGCTCTCTATTACCCTCCCAAAGACAGATAATAAGCAAGATGAAAACAAAAACAGCAATGAGGAAGAAATTCTTGCTTCCATTTCCTGGAGTTCATTTCAATGAATATTATATGATCAGATGCACATAGACATGGTGCCTTTGCTTTCCTCTCCTAAGAATATCCTCCTTTGCTCTGTATGTGAAAGCCTAGCATTACAAGGATCATGTTTTGGGGGTTATTTGGTTTATCTCTCTCTGGCCATGGCAGATGGGGCCGGGCTCCCCAGATGATATGTGTCAGAGTTCTGGGAAGTCACCAAACATGGAGCTGAGTCTTATGATTGGTGTTGAAACCAGGCTCTGGATGGCCTGAATGCCCATCCATACCTCTCCACACCCAACCCAGCCCTCAACCTTTTGTGCTTGCCCTGACTGTACATACCCTGAAGCAGCAGATGTGAGGGAGGAGAAAGGAAGGAGAGATCTGAAACTATGGGCAGTTCATAACACTGGGATGCTCACAGGACCCACAAGAGAGAAAAAGGGGGCTGAGAATGTGGCTTAGTGGTAGAGTGCTTGCCTAGCATGCATGAAATCCTGGGTTTGATTCCTCAGTACCACAGAAACAGAAAAGGCTGGAAGTGGCACTGTGGTAGTGTGCTAGCCTTGAGCAAAAAAGCAGCTCAGGAAGAGTTCCCAGGCCCTCAGTTCAAGCCCCAGGACTGGCAGGGGGAGGCAAAATAATCTGAACATAAGAGATCAAGGCAGGGCTGGGAAGGTGGCTCAGTGGTAGAGTGTTTGCCTTGCATGCATGAGGCCCTGGGTTCGATTCCTCAGCACCACATAAACAAAAAAGAAAAAAAAAAAGCCAGAGATCAAGGCAGAAAATCACGGGGAGACGACTGGGTTTCCTGAGTCTGAAGAGTAGAAATGTCAGTTCTGTGTATGCACACATTTATCTATCCATCATCTGTCTGTCCATCTATGCATCCATCCCTCGATCTCTCTCCCCACCTACCTACCCATTCATCCATTTATTCATTTATCCATCCTTCTTTCCACCTACCCACTCATCCAAGGGTGGTTCCAACTCTAGGAAGAAGGAACAGAGTAGAATAGAACAAATTCCACCCTAAAATTCCAAAGCTCTGGGTTCTCTTCTTAGCTCTGCCATTAGCTAGCCATGTAAACCAGCCATGTAAACCATGTAAACCTCACCTGTAAAATGGGGACATTTATACCAGAAGGTGGGTGGTTACTTTCTAGTTCTAATATTCCATGGCCAATCCTTTGGCCCCTGATGTCACAATATGGAGCTGGCTCGTGATTGGCCCATAGCCTTCCCCAGCTCTGCTGTTCTCTTGGTCATGGGAACAAGATGGACTCGCCCTGGACCTTCCCTACTTGTGCTCCTCTGTTATGGGCAGCTCTTATCATGGATCAGGACTGCGGATGATAGAAAATTTGGTATGGCAGGGATCCCAAAGGCCATAGGACCAACTAAGGGGATGGGACAAGGGCAGGTCACCCCCTAGGACCACATGATCCCTTTCTCTGCAGATCAGTTCTACAGTGAGACTGAGGCAAAGCTGTTCCTGCAGTTTTATGAGCAAACAGCCCAGGTTGTGTTCAACCAGTTCATGGAAGCCAGTTGGAACTATGTCACCAACATCACCAAGCCGAATCGGGAGGAGATGGTGTGTTACCACTTCCCCCTTCCATCCCTCCTCCCCTTGCTCTTCTTAAGAGGCTTGAAGGCTGGGGATTGCACCTCCTTCCTCCCATCCAGAGCTAGAGAAAGGAGTAAAGCCCCCAAGTCACAAATCAAAGAGAGCAGCAAGCTCCAGCATTATGATGCCTCAAGCTTTTCTTTGCACAAGAATCTCTTGCTTCTTTTTCTTTGTAAATCTTCTCTTCTGGTTTTCACAGACCCAGGCTTCCTCTAGCAAATCTTCACTGATACTTGACCCTTAAAGTGGGCTTTGGGGGGCGGGGGTTTGGTTTTGAAGCAGCATGGCCCTATAGAGTTCAATGTGGGGCCTTTACTTACTTCCCCAACTTGCTAAAACAAATACAGTGACCCTCTTTGCAGCTGAACAAGGAGATGGAGAGGTCCCAGTTCACGTTATACTTTGGCACTCGGGCCCGCCTATTTAACATTCACCACTTCCAAGACCCGGTCGTGAAGCGCATGTTGAGTAAGCTGCAGAACATAGACAAGGCGGCCTTGCCCAAGGACGAGCTCCTTGAGGTGATGGACAGGCCTGGCGGGGGAGCCAGAGTGTGTGGGGCAGAGGGAGGTTGGTGGGGCAGAACCAGAATTTCCTGTAGGGGAGGTGGGGGAGACTTCCTTCAGGTCCACCTGGCTGGGCGGGGCTAGTGTTGGGGGTGGGCCAAGGGCACGGGCCTGCCCTGGGTGACACCTACTCCCCCAGTACAACAAGCTTCTGGCCTACATGGAGACGGCATACAGTATGGGCCAGGTGTGCATGAGTGAGGGGCCCTGCGTGACTCTAGAGTCTGGTGAGTCCCCCCCATCCCCCAGTCCTGTCCCCCTTCATGGGCCTCCCAACCTCTCCACTCACTGGGGGAAACCCAGGGTGGGTGAGGGCAGAGGCAGGTGGGCATGGGGGTCCCATGTGGCTTCTGTTCTGGGCACAGACCTAGAAGAAATCATGGCGACCTCTAGGGATGAGAAGGAACTGATGTGGGCCTGGCAGGGCTGGCACGATGCTGTGGGTCGTCAGCTCCGCCCTATCTTTGGGCGCTACGTTTATCTCAGCAACAAGGCTGCAAATCTCAATGGTGAGTAGCCTGGACATGTTCCTTGGCAATGCCCAAGGAAAGGGGCAAAGTTAAGTTTGCAGAGAACTCGGGCAGAGGTAGTTCCCCGGAAAACATGAGCCTAGGCTATGTACTGACAGAGTAGCTGCTGTGTGCTGTCTTCTGGGGAAGTTTCTGAGGAGATGGAAATAGAAGGACTTGCTTACCTACAGTGATGTCTATAATAATCTCTAATGCCAATGGGGATGATGTCACAGCAGCCACTGAAGGAGGAAATGTGGAGCAAGCCATTTTGGGTATGTGGTCTGGGAAGGCCTCTCTCATTGACACCCATGCCAAGATGAGCAAGAGCCAGGCAAGCAGAAACCAAGTGACAGAACATCTCTATGGAGAAGCTCTGAAGCAGGAAGAAGCTGGGATTTTGAAGGACCCAAAAGAAACTTATGGTGGCTGCAGGGCTTATGGATGAGACAGAGTTTGGGTCAGAGTGAGAAAAGTCTTGTAGGCCTGGATGGGAGCTGGCACTAATTAATCTGCTCCAGCCTGGAATCTCCAGCCTTAGGAGGTAGCTGTCCCATTTTGCTACCTGTCTTATTTTGCTACCATCCCTTCCTCAAAGACCGGGGAGATTGAGGAATTTCACTAAGAAGGTACCTGGGCTGTGGCTGAAAGGTTGCAGGGTGAGCACCTTTTGAGGCCCCTCTCCTGTCCCAGGCTATGATGACATGGGGGATATGTGGCGCGCCGTGTATGAGTCTGAAACCCTGGAGGATGACCTAGAGGACCTCTTTGAGGAGCTGAAGCCTCTCTACCTGAACCTGCATGCCTATGTGCGCCGCTCCCTCTACCGCCACTATGGGCCCGATATCATCGACTTGAGGGGGCCCATCCCTGCCCACCTTCTTGGTAAGTGCCCAGTCTGGCAACAGAGATGGAGTCTCAGTCAGAAAAGAAGCTGTTCTCGCCTTCTCCTATAGCCTTCCCGTTCCCCTTTCAGGGAACATGTGGGCTCAGTCCTGGGTCAAGATCCTAGACCTGGTCCTCCCCTACCCCAAGAAGCCTCCAGAAGATATCACAAAGATCATGAAAGGCCAGGTTAGTGTTCCACTTTGGGGTGCCCCCACCCACTCAGTATCTCTGGGCACACAGTGCCCATGCACCCACCTCTTTCTTTATCACAGCACTGGAAGCCTGATAAGATGTTTCAAGAGGCTGACACGTTCTTTACCTCCTTGGGGCTGATCTCCATCCCAAATGAGTTCTGGAAAAACTCAATGCTGGAGAAACCAACAGATGGGCGGGAGGTGGAGTGCCACGCCTCTGCCTGGAACTTCTACAAGGACAATGATTTCAGGTGCCCACTGCCAGCATGGTCTACAGCTAGCCCCACACTGGGGCCCCTCTAGTTCCTCGCTGTCTGCCTGACTGTAGGCCATGTAGGCAAAGAGTGGGCAGTGAGAGAGCAGGGCCAGGGGAACGAGAGCCAAGAGAATAAAAGGGAAGGTGGGAGTGGAAGCGGTGGGCGTGGTCACTGTTTGATTAGGGGGCTTACATGTGGGAAAGGACAGTAGCTAAGGCCTTTCTGGTCTCCAGCCCATCCACCCCAATTCCTTAAAGGAGCCTGAATAGAGAAACCACTCTTTCCCCTACAGGGCATCCCCATGCTCCTTGACCCCTGCCCTTTAACCTTAGGATAAAGAAGTGCACTGAGGTGACCATAGAAGACCTGCTCTCCATCTTCCACCAGATGGGCCATATCCAGTACTTCTTGCAGTACCAGAACCACTCTATACTCTTCCGTGCAGGCGCCAACCCAGCCTTTCAAGAGGCCATTGGGTTGGTGATCTCCCTTTCAGCCTCCTCCCACAAGTACCTACTCAACAGAGGCCTTCTCAGTCACCAGCACCAGGATCCAGGTGATGAAGGATTAAGGGGACACCAGAAGGGCAGCCCAAGCCTGGAGCTGAAGCTGGGACCTGGGGAATGGGGGGGGGGGATGGTAACCAGAGCTCCTTATGGAAGGCTGAAGGAAGGGAAAATCCAGAAGCCACCTTCTGATTGCTCTGACTCCATCCCCAGAGGAGGAGATCAACTTCATGATGGGCATTGCTCTGGAGAAGATTGCCTTCATCCCCTTCAGCTACCTGGTTGACCTGTTTCGCTGGAGAGTTTTTGATGGCACCATCCAGAAGGACGTCTACAACCAAGAGTGGTGGAACCTCAGGTGGGGAAGGAAGCTGGTTTGGATTCTTCTCCTCAACCCCGTCCCTGCTGGGGGCAGGACTTGTGTCAGCAGGGTTGTAATGTTGGTGACCTAGAGGCCTGGGGATGCTCTGAGCACTGTCGGCTATTTGCCATCACTTAAAACAATACAAATTTTATTCAAACCAAGACTATAGCCACATTCTGAAAACAAGCACAAAACAAAAAAGTACCCAAGAGCCAGACACTGGTGGCTCATGCCTCTAACTCTAGCTACTCAGGAGGCTGAGATCTGAGGATTGTGGTTCAAAGTCAGCCGAGCAAAAAAGTCTTTGAGACTCTTATCTCCAGAAGACTAGAAGTAGAGCTGTGGCTCAAAGTGGTAGAGAACCAGCCTTGAACAATAGAGCTCAGGGACAGCACCCAGGCCCTGAGTTCAAGCCCTAAGACTGATTAAAAGAAAAAGAAAAAAAATGTCCATACTGTAGTATATAGAGCCAGCAGGAGCCAACCATGAAACTTTATTATGAACCTGGCACCAGCACTGAGCAGGGCTCTTAACTTCTCTAGGCTTCACTGTCATCTGTGAAAAATGATCCTTGGGAGGGCCTACACCTGCTTCCCCAGGTGGCTAGGAAGTTCCTGCCATGATTGTAATTGAGCTTCTCCAAGAACAGAATGCTGATCACCAGGGTCCACAGTCAAGCCCCTGTCTCTCTCCCACTAGGTTGAAGTACCAGGGCCTGTGCCCCCCCATTCCTCGGTCAGAGGAGGACTTTGACCCTGGTGCCAAGTTCCATGTTTCTGCCAATGTGCCCTACATACGGTAAAGGTCTGGCCCTATCAGAAGAGCCAGCTCTGGGAGTTGAACTTGGGAAATGTGGGGACTTCCTGTACCCCTGCCCACTTCTTCCCATGGGTTACAGAACCTGCAGAAAGGCATGTCTTAGAATCCTTTGAGCTTTGCCATCATAGCTCGTGCAGAGGGCAGAACTGGTGGAAATATTTTATAACATCCCTACTGCCCCTGGGTTGCTGCTGTTTCAGAAAGAGGAAGATTCTAGAGCCAGCCAGTTTAAGGTGGAGGCTTGCCCAAAAAACCTCCACACAAATGGTGGCTGCTCACATGGGCTCCTGTGGCCACTGCGTGTGGGAGCTACCTGGCCCCAAACTTCCCACTCCCAGTCCCTACTGCCCAGCCTGCTCTCACATTCCTCTACCCAGGTACTTCCTCAGCCTGTTGCTCCAGTTCCAGTTCCATGAAGCACTGTGCAAGGCTTCAGGCCATTCGGGCCCACTGCACCACTGTAACATCTATAACTCCAAGATAGCTGGGGATATCCTGGAGTAAGTGTCCTCATTTGTCATGTTGTCACAAATGATGAAACTGAAGGCTAGAGAGATCATGTGATTGAGTGTTATTGATGAAGCAAGGAGCAAAGTCATACTCAGGACCTAGAACTTTTGAATTCAAAGCACATTTTCTTTCACACCATTGAGTCTATCAGTGGAAGCATACAGAGCTGGATAAGGTCAGACCTAGACCTACTGGATCAATGATTGAGATGCAGAATCCTTTCAGTTACCCCTGGACTTCTACTAACTTCAGTATGTCCATTCTCCTAATTGATCAAAGTCACCTTGAGTTTTATTTCTGTATCACATAGGAATAGCAGTGTCACATAATTTACTATCCTTTGCATTTATTTGCTTGTTTGTTTATTTTTATTTTGGTGCTGGTTCTGAGGCTTGAACTCAGGGCCTGGGTGCTGTCCCTAAGCTCTTTTGCTCAAGGCCAGTGCTCTGCCAATTTGAGCCACAGCTCCACTTCTGGTTTTCTGGTGGTTAATTGGAGAAAAGAGTCTCATGGATTTTCTTTCCCCAGGTTGGCTTTGAACTGTGATCCTTAGGTCTCAGCCTCCTGAGTAAGGATTACAGGTATGAGCCACCAGCACCTGGCTCCTATGCTTTTTTTTGCTCAAGGCTAGTGCTCTTCCATTTGAGCCACGTCTCCACTTCTAGCATTTTTGGGTATGTATGGTAGTTTATTAGAGATAAGAGTCTCATGGACTTTCCTGCCTGGGCTGACTTCAAACTATGGTACTCAGATCTCAGCCTCCTGCAGAGCTAAAATTATAGGTATAGGCCACCAGCACCTGGCCTTTGCATCTATTTTTGTGCTGGTTGGCACCTCAGAGCCTAGTGTTCTATTTTATATTTTAGCATTTTTGTTTATAGCTGACACTCTACCACTTAAGCCTATACCTCCTGCCCAGCTTTTTTGCTGATTAATGGCAAATAACTTTTCCCTGTCCTCATACAGCAGTCTCCTGAGTAGCTGGGACTACAGATATGAGCCACTAGTGTCTGGCTTGCAGTTTATTTTATTTTTTCTAGATAGTGTCTATATAGCCTGAAGCTCCTGAATGCTGGGCTTACAGGCCTTCACCACATTTACTTCCCTTATATACTTAATAAGTGTATATGATCCTTTTATGCAGTTTGTCAACAATCACCAGGCAAGATGAAGTTAGGTCCCCTGGAGCTTAGCTCTTGAAATGACTATCTTTTATCCTGTCTAGTTTTTTTTTATTTTGATCAATATTATTTGATATGATCAGAGACAATAGGCATTGCAGCTTTGTGTTCTTCCCGTAAGAGTAACCTTCTTTGGTCTCACTATGCGTGAATACCTCAAGTCCCATATAATTGATCACATCCCCAGGTATTTTAGGTCTAGCTTCTGCATATGAGATAACTGACTGCTTAGCTTTGGGCTATTTTTTAATGTATTGAACACAAAGGCGCTCTCTGCTCTCTTCATGTTTCAGCTGACTGCCATTCAACAACTGTTTACTTGTACCAGTGCTGACCAGCTTCTTTGGGTCCAGCAGGGGGCAGTGAACCATGAAATAAATTATATGTTACTTGGACAGGAGCTGCAACTGCAGGGAAGGACTTTAGTGCATATGCAAAGAGGGTTATGAGGTCCAGCAGACAAGGTGGAGGTGAGGCAGTGGAGCACCATACCAAAAAGAGACCTCTAGCCCCAGATCAGAGTCAGGCGTATAAGCAATAGACTTCTTGTTTTCTTCACACCAACTTAATTTTAATTTTATTTATTTGTTTGTTTTTGTGTGCAAGTACTGGGGCTTAAATTTACAGCCTGAGTGATGTCTCTTACCTTTTTTTGCTCAAGGCCAACATTCTACCACTCTACCACTCCACTTTCAGCTCTTTGATGGTTAACTGGAGATAGGAACCTCACAAACTTTTCTGTCTAAGCCGGCCTCAAATTGCAGTCCTTACAACTCGGCCTTTTTAAGTAGCTCAGATTATACATTTGAGCCACCAGGGCCCAGCAATTTTTTAAAGTGTATTTAATTTTTTTTTATTTTGGGGGGCTTTAAAACTCAGGGCCTTGTGTTCTCACTTGGGTTTTTCAAGGCTGGTGCTCTACCACTTGAGCCATACCTCTACTTTTGGCTTTTTGCTGTTTAATTGAAAATCTCTCAGATTGTCTACCCACATTGACTTCAATCCAAGATCCTCAGATCTCGGCCTCCTGTGTATCAGCAGCTGAGTATCAGCTGTAGTACCATTTCTAGAAGATAGAGGTTCAGTAGTTAAAACTGTTTGTCCAGCCAGGTATGGTGGCACATACCTGTAATCCCAGTATTTGAGAAGCCAAAGCAGAAGCATCTTCAGTTCCTGAGTTACATAGCAAGGTTTCTTACTGTTATTACTCAGGAACCAGCATCGGATCTCGTACCTCAAGTTTTGGTTTGCTATGTTCAAAACTAATATTTTTGGTTTTGCTATGTTCAAAACTAATATTTTAGGGGGCAGGAGCTGGTAGCTTACACCTATAATCCTAGCTCTGAGGATTGAGGTTTGAAGCCAGTCCAGACCAGAAAGTCTATGAGGTGCTTTTCTCCAAAAAGCCAGAAGTAGCTGTGGCTCAAGTGGTAGAGCAAGCACTAGCTCTGAGCAAAAGAGCTCAGAGACAGCACCCAGGCCCTGAACAAGCACAAATAATAGTAGTAATAATATTTATTTTGGTGCAGTACTGGGGATTGAGCCAGGGCTTCAAGCATGCCAGGCAAGAGCTCTACTACTGAAGACATGCCATAGCCTTTTTCTTTCAATCTTGATGATTCTTTGCCTTAATTTCTCCGAGAAATTCTTGTCCAGTAGTTTCTACCAAGGATCTGCTGACCTTTCATTTCTCCTACCTCATTCATTGCCAGTTTATTTCTTTTGTTTTTGTTTTAAGGTAGGTATCACTATATAACCCAGGCTAGTCTCAAACTCACTAGGTAGCCAGACTGGCCTCATATTTTCCTTTTTCTTTCTTTCTTTTTTTTGGGGGGGGTCCGGTTGTGGGCCCTGAACTCTGGGCCTGGGTGCTGTCCCTCAGCTCTTCAGCTCAAGGCTAGCGCTCTACCACTTGAACCACAGCACCACTTCCGGTTTTTTCTTTTTGCTTATGTGGTACTGAGGAATCGAACCCAGGGCCTCATGCATGCAAGGCAAGCACTCTACCACTGAGCCACCTTCCCAGCCCCTGGCCTCATATTTTTCAATCCTTCTACCTCATGCTTCTAAGTAGCTGGGATTACCAGTGTATATCAAGATACCTGGCTCCAGTTGTTTATCAAGAGATGTGTATAGGTCTTGACAAGATACAAAGTGGTCATTATATGATCTAACCCTCACCTTTGATGAACAGATACTCACCAAGAAGTCAGGTTTTTACCAATGAAGACACAGACTGGTGTACCTGAGGTTATAAGTCCATAAGTAGCATTGCCAGCTTTAGAACTTAGGCCCTGTTAGTCCAGACCACCTCCTCCCCCCCCTACCCCTCCCTTCCCTCCTCCCACCCCCTCTCCCCACCAGCCTCATAGAGAACTCTATACTTATAGGCATCAATTCTCTCCTGGTCAGATCAAGGAAATGACTGATTGAGAGAAATCAATACCTGCACACTGCTGCGTGGTAGGGCGGCTGGCAGGGTGGACCCTGGGGATCTAGCTTTGGCTCACCCTGAATCCTCAGTATGAGTACAATAGGCTATTGCCACTGAGCACTAGGGGTGCCTGGAGACAGCTGACATTTATGCAGTACTACAGGTGGTACACAGAATTCCTCCTATACCCTTGAATCTTTCCAAACACTCCCTTGGGAGGCCAGGACAGGCCAAATGGCTTCCTCTACCTACCTACCTACCTACCTACAAGCACTGAGCATAGAGGACACAGTAGTTCAGATGAGGTATTTATTTGAGCTTAAGTGAATACTAATTCCAGTAGTGCTGATAATCATCAGCCACAGTTAGTGTTATAGCCACTCTATGTGGAACACACTGATATCTGCATTTTATGGAGATGGAAACTGAGGCTCAAACAGGTTATTTGCCCAGGTACCACAACTTCTAAAAGACAAAGCTGAGAGTCAAAGTGAAGTGAGACTTGTTATTTCAAAGGTCGTGATTGGGCTGACTGCCCAGTGGCTCATACCCTGTAATCCTAGGTATTTAGGAGGCTGAGACCTGAGGATCATGATTCCAAGCCATCAGGGCCAGGAAAGCCCATGAAACTCCTCTCTCCAATTAACCAACAAAAAGCCTAAAGTGGAGTTGTGGCTCAAGTGGTAGAGGTCTAGCTCTGAGAGAAAAAAAAAAGGTAAGGGACAGTACCCAGACTAAGTTCAAGCCCCTGTACCTGCACCAAAATAAAAGAAAAATTTTTAAAGATGGTGATTATATCCAGTATATTGAGCTCTGTGGGAAGATCCTGGCTGGCAAAGCCCTAGGGCCAAGGTTAGGTATAGTAAGGGGTCCAGCAGCTGCTCCTGCCCTGGCCCCTACACAACCTTACAACTGCCTCTACTCCCTCAGGAATGTCTTGAAACTGGGTTCCAGCAGGCCTTGGCCAGAGGTTCTAAAAAAGCTGACCGGGAAGTCTAAGGTGTCTTCGAAGGCCCTCATGACCTATTTCAAGCCACTGCTGAACTGGCTAGTGAATGAGAACGTGCAGCAGGGGGAGGTCTTGGGCTGGCCAGACTTCACCTGTTCTTTTGAAGGTTGGATAATGTGTCCCTAATCCCACCTCTGATGTAGCCTCAGGTCCCACTCTTGCCTGCCTTGCCCTGAATCAGCCCCTGCCCCAGTCTAGCCCTAACTTTCGGCCTGACCTAAGACAGCACAGCATAGCAACTGCATGTCTGTACCAAAGCCTGGTACAGCTTCAGCCAATACCACAGTCCATGCCCAGCCCCTGCTCAGTTACTTTCTTGTACGGTCCGGCTAGACTTGCCAAGCTGCATCTCAGTAGAGAGCAAGCACCTGGCTATCTTTCACCTACTCTCCTCTACTTTCTCCTCATTTTAAGGTAATGCCAGTCAAATTCTTTCTGAGAGCCACAGGAGACCTCAGAATACATCCCCATCCCTCATCCCCAGGCCTGGCTGCCCTGTAAAGCTCTCCTGTCTTCCACAGGGAGAAACATAAACAAAGTGGATTTCTTGGCTACAAGGCTGAAGCCTGACAGAGCCAACTTCGGGCAGTGGTTGCTGTTGGTTCTGAGCTGCCTCTTGTTCCTGATAGTCCTGGGGCTGGCTGCCAGGCTGTACTTCCTGGAAAAAGAGTCACCAAACCAGGATTCCAAGGCACCTGCCAACCAGGCTTACTTCCTGGGTAGACCCATGGAGCCCAGCATGGTTGCCCGAGGACAGTGGATCCTACTAGGCCTCTGCTTCATCCTGCTGATATGCTCCATCTGCCTGATCGTTTGGATCATCACACAGCAAAACAGCAACCTTCTATGGGAAATGGACTAATCACTATTGAGACTGGTGAGCTGGAGAAGGTGGAGGAAGGTAACAGAGACAGAGAGTAGATTGTCTTTAGGAATAGGGCCCAGCTGTGACTGGGCTCAGGTGCTGCAGATCTGGGTACATATTGACTGTATGTTTACAAACTTGTGTGAGAATCACAAATGGCCAACTCTATGTAATTCTTAGGATGATCTGGGTTCCAGGCCAGTCCCCTGTCCCAGTAGAGGCTTAGCAACCGTGGTTATAATGACTTATGTCCCTTCAAACCAATACAAGCCATGCCCACAACTAATTCTCCACATAGCTTTGGTATATCCAAGAATCTAGCTATGTGGTTTGGCTACAGGAACCAAGGAGCTTCTGTTCCGGTTAGAAAAAAAGACCCCGCTTCAGACTCCTTATAAAATATCCTCAAGTAGAACTGGCGTCCAGTTCATGAGCATTGTGCTCTGTATACAAGCTAGTATCTCATTCTACCCCCCACTTTCTCTACTGATATTCTGGTCTGCCTGTGTAAAGCTTCACAATCCAATCCCCAAAAGCTCTTTGTTGGCCACCTGAAATGTAAGTAACCTCAAAAACTGCCCATAACTCTCCCTACCCTAGCCCAGGCCTTCTGAATGGAGACAGTGGGTAGCTGGGCCCTGAGCCAGGCATGATTAATGATTGACTTCTTTAATATTTAAACAAAGCTCATCTCCAGCCACTCAGCTTCTAGAGATGGCCTTGTTCAACACACACACCTGCTGCCTGGCTTGTTGCCCTGGGGAGTGAGGACAGGGTAAACAGTGCCTTTCCAAACTCTGTGGAGGAGGGGAACACAGAGAGGAAAGTGAGGGAATATTTAGGATATTAGTGATCTAAGACTAAGCCTAGGGAAGAAAGAAGGTTTTCTGTCCCTAACCTTTATAACCCCTTTTTTTGCCAGCCTTCTGGCCACAGATGCTACAGCTAATATTTTCAGACTCACCAAGTCTGGATGGAGATTCCAGGGGTTTCTGGGGAGTTTGTACCTGTCAAAGAATAGAAACTCAGGGGAAGCCAGAAATCACGAAGTACCAGGGTGGCAGTTAAGTTGGTTAGTAAAGTGGCCAAAGCCAGCATTCCCTAGATTAAGAATCTGAGCCCAAGCCAGGTGCCAGAGGCTCATGTAGTCTTAGCTACTCAGGAGGCTGAGATCTAAGAATCACAGTTCAAAGCCAGCCCAGGCAGGAAAGTCCGTGAGACTCTTATCTCCAATAAATCACCAGAAAATCGGAAGTGGCACTGCAGCTCAAGTGGTAGAGCCTGAAGAGCTGAGGGAGAGTGCCCAGGCTTAGAGTTCAAGCCCCATGACCAAAAAAAAAAATCTGAGCCCAGAAGTCAGGGCTCAAGGGACAGAGGTCTACTTCCTTAGTCTACCCCGATTTCTACCAAATGTCTTGTATCTGGCTGAGCCCAAGCACTTCCTACTCCATTCCCAGACTCTATAGTTTGATGTCTCTGTCACTTCTATTTTTCAGTGTTGTGATATCCATTATGAACGCTAAGCTCTGTAAGGACTTGAACACATACCACAAATTATGGCTTTGTGTATGATCTCTAGTCAGTACAGACTCTGAAGGCTTGGATAATGTTTGAAATGAGCAAGTGAAATGAATGAATGACTCAATGCCCAAGTCCTTGATCAGAACTCAGCCCTTCATGCACCGAGCATGTGAGAAAAATCATTCTATCTTTCCTCCACAGCCAGCCTGCCCTTCTAGACAAGGGGGCAGCCAGGATATCCCTGCCCCTCCAGGAGGTCACACTTGCAGCCTTCTCATCTCCCAGCCACAGTGGCCAATGAGGCCCCCCACCAGACATTGTGGCTCCACATGGCAAAGGCACATCCAGCCCAGGACTCCAAGCCTCTCACCTGGACTCCAGCAAAAGCCTCACTGAGCCTCCTTGGCCATCTCCTTCCCCCCTCCCCCATCATTGTAAATTTTATTTTTTGCCAGAATATTGAATATTTCCTTCAAATGTTTTCAAAGTTCCTTCCAAACGTCTAACTTCTTAAGAACTTGGTTGACCATCCATTAAATCTAGATGTTCAAAATGGCATCGGAGGGTCTTTTTCTACATTTTTCCACTTCTCCGATCACTCAGTGTAGCCTCTCTACAATGACGTCATCCTTGGCCTTTGCCGAAAGTACATGCTCCATTTTGAAAGCTTGCCTTCTGAGGCCTGGCTCCAGGTCTTGGGACCATCTGCAAAACTCCAAGCTTACCAAGATGCCTAGTGAACAGTGGTCCCCTTCTCCCCTCTTCTCCAAGAACCTTCTTTCAATAAACCTCACCCCACCCTCACCTGCCTCTCTTAGTGTGCTCATTTGCAGTCAGAATGCAGACACTTACCAGTGGTCACTTGCCTAATAGATGGTATTACATGTGTTCTTTCAAGTTGTGCCTGTATGTTAAAAGCTCTGATGCTTCTGAAGGAGATGCCTTATTGTGTATTTCTTGTACACGCAATTAGCTACCCTACCTCATTCTCCCAGTACCAGCCTGGACTTGCTTACCACCTGGAATTCAGCAGGAGCCCTGCGGCTCTGCTGAAGGGTTCTTGTCCAAAGGGCTAGCGCTGTAGCCTGGCTAGAGCCAGGCACAGAAGTAAAACCCTGGGGAAAATCTTCAGTAAACACTCATAACTCCTTCCGCCTGGGATGATAAACTCCCCTTCAGTATCAGGAGGGATTCCAAGGAAGGCTAAGGCCATTATTAAGACATAAGCCAAAGCTCCTCAAGAAGCCCAGCTCCATTCTAGACCTCGGATCCCCCCTCCCGCTGCCTGCTAAAATTCAGTGCCCCTCCACTCCCACATTGGTTCCTGCACCAGGACCCCGCCCCGCCTCTTCTTTCAGCACCGCAGCGCGGACAGCTCCCGGGCAGGAGCGGAGGGGGAGGAGGAGGCTGGAGCTGTGGGCGGGGAGGGGAGGAGGGGAGCCACGGGCCGGGGAGAACAGAGGCGGGCAGACGGGCGGGCGGGGCTCGGGGCCCGGCGGCCCTCCTCGGGGGCGGCGCCCACCCCAAAGCCAGAAGCATCTGAGAATCCTGGACAGACCCAGACGCAGAGAGCCAGGGGCACGGGGCTCCACCAAAAGATGCCTGTTCGCAGGGGCCACGTTGCGCCCCAAAATACTTACCTGGACACCATCATCCGCAAGTTCGAGGGCCAGAGTGAGTGTGTGGGTGTAGGGGAGGGGGTGATCTGGAGTCCGGGTTCGGTGGCAGGAGGGCCAAGGGCCTAGGACTAACTTTTCATGGGGCAAAGGGAGGTGGGTGCTGATTCTGAAAGCAAAAGCCCCTTTTTACTCTAACATCCGGAGCACCTAACTTTCTCCTCTAAGCTTTCTTCTCTCCGGGAAATGAGGGTCCTACCCCTCCACAGAGAATGGTTTTCTTGGTGTCCCAAACCTAAGCTTTTGCTTCCTAACCATTCCCCTCTGACTCCAGAAGCTTCCTGGATTTTACCTGGCGAGTTCCTTTGTTCTGACCCTCTTCACTGTTTCCTGGAGGACTTGGACCTAATTTCCACTTCAGTGGCTCTTCCTGCCCGGCTTTTCCAATAACCCCCACACCTGATTCGTCCACTTCTCACAATTCCACTCACTTTCCCTCACCTTCCCCCAAGCTGACCTCCTCCTCCCTCATTCTGGTCCCTTGCTCCTGCATCTAAATCCCCCTCCCTGCTGTCATTAGTTCTTATCATCTTTCTCTCTCAGCTACCCATTCCTGGCTGCCAGGATCTTCCTACTTCTTGCTTCCCACCCAGGTCGTAAGTTCCTGATCGCCAATGCTCAGATGGAGAACTGCGCCATCATTTACTGCAATGACGGCTTCTGCGAACTCTTTGGCTACTCCCGAGTGGAGGTGATGCAGAGGCCTTGCACCTGCGACTTCCTCACAGGCCCCAATACCCCAAGCAGTGCTGTATCCCGCCTGGCCCAAGCCCTCCTGGGAGCTGAGGAGTGTAAGGTGGATATCCTCTACTACCGCAAAGATGGTGAGACACAGTCAGACCTGGGCTTCTACAGGGCAGGCTTTGCCAGGGTGGGCCTTGGGGAGGTAGCTGATGTAGAGATCAAAGGGCCTGGACAAATTCCATCCCCTCTCTTGGCCTGTTTCCTCATAAGTAAGGGGAAAGCAATGAGGATTGGATGTTCTTGCCTTGTGAGGGTTTGGGAGCCAGGCTGAGCCAACAACTGGTCCGATCCTGAGGCAGAGTCTCCTGCTTCACTATCCTTCTTCTGTGTCCCTGGTCTCCTGGCTATCCACTCTGTCACTGTCAGCCCCAGCTGTCAGGCAGCTGGGACGGAAATTAACGTTCCCTCATCTCCGTCTGCTCTGAGGATTAGGGGAGGAGTCACTCCCTCAAGGCCTCTGTGATCAGGCAATGCTCAGGGACTGCTAGCTGGGGAAAGGGGTAACTAGTTCTAGTTCTTTGGGAAGATTGAGCTCTGGAGTTTTCTGGGACCAGAGGTTCATCCAGATGGTTCTTACTGCCACCTATATGTATGGCAAGCAGAACATAAGCATAGGTCACAGGCTGAGAGCCAAGAGCATGCCAGCCCTTAAGATCTCTGTGGTACTGTACCTCTAGGATCATAAAGTCTCCAACAGATCTAAGGAAGGAGAACTAGCATCAGAATCTGAAGATCCTTGAAAATCACCAGAGTCAATGGCCCCCAAGCTGATTCTGCATCAGGGGCACATTTAAAAAGAAAAACAACAAAAAACACCTTCCCTAGAGAGGAAAATTCTGACTCAGAAGGTATGAAACAAGCCCAATCAGGAGTATTTGGAAAAAAATCTCTCCAGCAGTTCTGATTTCCTGCCAAATTTAGGAAACACTAGCTTAGATAAATCCCTTAGTTTCATGAATGCAGAAGGTACTTTCCAGAATCTCTCTGCTAGAACTCTGCTTAAACTGAGGGCTGGACCCCAAGTCTAGAGCTCTCCTTTTGAAGATGTGTGTTCTAAGTTACCCCTAAAGAATAGGACCACACGCCGGGCACCGGTGCTCATGCCATAATCCTAGCTACTCAGGAGGCTGAGATCTGAGGATCGAGGTTCAAAGCCAGCCCACTCAGGAAAGTCCGTGAGGCTCTTATCGCCAATAAAAACCACTAGAAAACCAGAAGTGGCACTGTGGCTCAAGAGGTAGAGCGCTCGCCTTGAGCTGAAGAGCACAGGGACAGCGCCCAAGCCCAGAGTTCAAGCCCCATGACCAACCAAAAAAGAAAGAAAGAAAGAAAAGGACCACACATCTCTCTGTGCCTAGAAGTAGGACTTTGCGGGGACGAAATCCCCAGAAAAGAGAAGGCCCCTGCAAAACAGCATAATGGCTACCAAAAGTACAGAAAAAGGGCAGGTAACTTTGAGTTGAGACAGAAGGATGCTGAAATACCAAATTCCAAGGACCTGTGTATATGTGTGTGGGACATAAGTGCATGTGGTGTGTGTGTGTGTGTGTATAGGGGCTTCCAGGGGCAGGTCCTGACTACCCCCTTGGCTGCCCACTTCCCCTGCCCACCCCCGAGGAATAGTAGGTAAGGAGTGTTACAAGCAGAGGCAGCAATCAAAGGACTGGGAAGAATCTGTCTTAGTTTGGCAGTACTCACAGGGTTAAGGAAGTCAGAATATTTTTAAAAGCTGTGACCTCACCTCTTTGTATCATTGCAAGGAGGAGGTGACAGTCGGGGGAGTGAGAAGGGTCTCAGGGGAACAGGAGTGGGACAGCAGGAAATGGAGGGGAAAGCATTTCCTTTCTGCTCTTCTCTCTGACCCTAGAGCTCTCCTGAGCCCCAGCAAGGAAGGTCTGATCCTAGATTCCTGGAGAGATTGGGCCAGGTCCCCTCAGCACCCTACTAGTGTCGAGGAAAGAAACAGAGTTTAAATCCAGACCTTGGTCCCTGAGATCAGCATTCGGGTTATCAGAACCCTGGTCATTAAAAGGTACACTGCAAGTTCTAGTCTTGGAGGCTAGACATGGGCAAAAATGAAAAGCTATTCACATGTTTAAGGATTCCTGAGTTCCAATCTCCCCCATCCCACATTTAGTCCTTCCTTGTCCTTTTTCCCAAACGTTTGACCACCTGTACCATCCTGAAATTAGCTTCAAACTCAGGGGGAAAAAAGGGCTTCCTGGCATGTAGTACCCAAAGGGAAGGATATGGTAAGAAAGAATCTGATGACTTTTGTTCATCTTATGGTCCACATTAACCACATTATCCTTTTTAAAAAGTCTATCCACATACTTCATGCAGTTCTGGTGATTTCTTCCCTTCTCAGGTCGATAGCTTCTACTTTACCCCATTCCCTGACTCCAGGGAGATGGAAAGGGGTCCTGAAAACACATCAAAAATTTGTAATCCGATTAATATATAATCCTCTTTTCCTCTAAAAGGGTAATCCATGAAAATGCTCCAACTCAAAATGGAGGGTCTGTGTTTATATATATATATATATATATATATATAAAATCATATATATTATCGTATATATCCATATTATATAGCTACATAAGGTGATACTGAAGGTCAGGGTTCTTAGTAAGAATTACCCGCATGAGACTGATCTCAGACACCTGTGAGAAGCTAAAGCCCTGTGTTTGCTAGGAAAAGCAAGCGCCTAAAAGCGAAGGAAAGGACTCTGTCCCAGGACTAGAACTGATGAGTGTCTAGAGGGAGGCAGGGAGAGCACTCAGATTCCATAGCTCTACCCCCTGCCCCACTGGGCATTGCCAGAATGCTCAGCCCTGCCTAGCTTTGTCAGATCCTCTATTTCCATGAGCCCAAACCAGAGTCCCCTACCCCTCAGCATAGACTACAAGGGGCCTCTAGCCCCAGCATTGGGTGAGGAGAACAGGGCAAAGATGAGGTCAGGTACCACTGTCTGTCCCCACAAGTGTTCACCTATGAAAGACAGGAGGGCCAGCTGGGGGCAACTTGTAGTACCACTCCTCCCTGAAGGCTCCGTGCTAAGTGAGGTGTGTATAAAGAATTGGGGGTGGCTCAATTGGCTGAGTACTTGCTTAGCATGTGTAAAGCCATGAAAGGGAGAGACTGAGTGGAGACTAGATGCGAGCCATGCAGGAAAGAGAACATTCCCCAGGGATCAGACAATGCTGCTACTCTTAATCAGAGAGGTAGGTGCTTGGAAGAGCCCCTATAGAGGAGAAACAGGCAGAAGCTGTCTTTTCCTCCAGGGACAGGGCAAAGCCACTGAAACACTGTCATTCCTAGACACAACTTAGGGTAATATACTCATTAGCTTCTGCTCAGCCAGACAGTTACTTACTATGGGCTCAAAGCCATGTTACCCATGGCTTAGGACAGCCAGCCTGGAGTATAGGGAGAGAAAGATGCTCTTGACCCTTCCAAGTTCTCATAGCCTCCTGTCTGGTAGCTAGCATGGGATTGGGCATGGGGTGCCATGCATGAGCACCACCCCCCATACACACATCCTTCTCAGCCCTTACTGCTATGATGGGCTGACCTTTGGTCCATTCCTAGTCTCAGCTCTCCAACAATATCATCAATGGTTCAGTGCAGGCACTTGAAGACCAAGCTTTGGCAGCCTTACCCCAGGCTGACAAGCGTCACTATGTAGCACTGTGAGCCTGGAAGTGGCCCAGGCTAGGCAAGCAGCCTCTCAGTGTAGATGTCTCCCCTGGGCCCAGACAGCAGCTGGCAGATGGCTGCCTGGTGCCTGGGAGTCCAGGAATCTGATCTGGGATATTCCTGCTCCCCAGAGAAAAGTGAGAGGGAGGATGGGGGAGGCACAGCTGCACCCGAGCTCTGATTCCATGAGGAAGGGCGGAAATGACCAGAAGAAAGTCTGGGGAAGCATGATTCTAGTGGTTCCTAATGTTGTCATACTCCGGCCAGCTGACCTCCATCCCCTCACTTTTACACACCCATGCTTTCTTTACTCAGTCAACAACACCTGGGACAGGTGAGACATGCCCTCTGGGAGTGCAGCTCCTTCTGATTTGCATGGTCCCTAAGGCCACTATTCCTGAGGATCCTGCCCCATGGACCTGACTGACACCTGGCCACTAGTTTGAGTTGAGGGATATTCAACACACAAGTGGTGTCTACCCACAAACTGAGCCCTGATGGGATACAGCATTTGAGCTGGAATCATTCCATCTACCAGTGGGGCCTGGTGGTGAGACTCTGAAGCAAGGAGAGGACCAAGACAGTGGCCAAAGGTACAGAGGGACCAATAGCTGGATCTCCATCCAGGAGGACAGAGAGGGTGGCACTAAAGGCCTGTGTTGCTTCCACTAGGCCTCTTCCTTCCTTTTTGGCCCCCCAGGACATTATTCTGCCTGCTTTCTCATCCCAGACTCTATCTTGGGACCTCACCCCAATGCTCGCCTCCCAGACAAGGCCCTTCCCTTTTTCCCAAGCCCCTGTCAGGTGAGAGTTTCTCAGAATCTTCAGTTCTCATCTGTAGAATGGGGGAGGGGAGGTCTGTTCTCCAAGGACCTCCTGAAGCCTAATGTGCCAACTGGCTCCATGCCCAGCACTTAGTACACTCCCAACAAGTTCCTTCCGGCAACAGGGAAGTAGGCATCTTTATGGAATGGCAATGTGGGAGCTGAGCCCATGGCTAGCCAGAGTGACACAGGGGTGGAATGCTCCACCTGACCTCCCCGGCTTAATCTACCCCATCTGCTCAGCTTTAATTACAGCAGAAGCAAACCTCGAAGCTAAGCTCTGAGCTGAGAGCCCAGTGTGGACTTGGACCTGATGCTACATTATTTCCTAATGAGCAGCTTAGCTCCTCTCTCCACCTCTGCCCTGTGGGTGGGGCACCTGCTGGCAGCCTCATCCACCCTCTGCCCAATAGCTCTGGTCACTGTCCAGGAGTGGATGCCCTTGACTTCACCTTCATGCAGTTGCTTCCTAGCCAAGAAGGGAGACCCTTCTGCAGGAGGGGACCACTTCAGTGACCACCCTGCTAACTGTGATTTCAGCCTCCAGCTTCCGCTGCCTGGTGGATGTGGTGCCTGTGAAGAATGAGGATGGGGCTGTTATTATGTTCATTCTCAACTTTGAGGACCTGGCCCAGCTCCTGGCCAAAAGCAGCAGCCGTAGCCTAACCCAGCGCCTGCTGTCCCACAGCTTCCTGGGCTCCGGTGAGCAAGACAGGCTGTGGGTGGTGGCAGGGGCAACTTGAGGATATTCAGTGGAATAGTCATTGCCCTGTCTCTGGCTGCTCTGACCCTGGCACCTTGGTTTCAGAGGGCTCTCATGGCAGGTCAGGTGGACAGGCGCCTGGCACCGGAAGGGGAAAATACAAGACAGTCAGCCAGATCCCACAGTTCACGCTCAACTTCGTAGAGTTCAACTTGGAGAAACATCGCTCAGGTTCCACTACAGAGATTGAGATCATCGCTCCCCACAAGGTGGTAGAACGGACACAGAACGTCACTGAAAAGGTCACCCAGGTGAGGGCCTGAAGGGCAGGGGGGATGGGGTTGTGCTAGGCATCCAGGGTCCCCTCCCAGATGCTGGGCCTCAGCAACTCTAGGGCCTTGGCTAATAGAGAGATAAGGTTAGCTCCAGCCCCCTAGTGTTTGGTCTGAGCCTTAGGCCTCCTTCCTGCTGGAGTCTGATTCTTTAGATCTGAAGGCTTACCCTGAGACTCAGCTCCTGGAGCCAGGCGAGGCTGGGGTCAGCAGAGCTTGTGAATAATGCCACCTTCTAGACCTGGAAATGCTAAGAGGTAGGCTGGGAGGTAGGCAGGCATGCCAGCATGGAGGCCTCCCCAAGGCTCTGCCAATTACAGGGCAGGAGTGGTACAGTCAGGATAAGGACCAGACAGAGAGGAGGAGATACAGGAGAGAAGATGAGAAACTCCAGCCTTGCTCCTGCCCTTTGTCTTTGAGACACAGCACAGGTATGGCAAGGTTGGCATTAATAAGCATCCTCCTGGGAACTCATCCTTGAGTACCTCACCCCTGTAGCCCCTCCTTGGCTGAGTCCTCTGTCTCAGCTGTACCTTTTCATGGGACTAGATGGCCCAATTAGTCCAGAGGAAAATGCAGTGTTCTGCTTGAGACTCTAGCGATCAGGGTCCTGGCACAGACTCAACCTTGTGATCTTAGGCAAGCCCTCCCCCATTTTCCCCTTGTACCTTTGCTGGGCCTCAGGACAGAAGAGTTTGACTGTTTTCTGAAGACCTATTCAGCATGAAGTAGTGCTAGTCTAAGAGGGAGACAAAGCTCCAGGTCATGTAGAGGAACCAAGGGCAAGGCTGAGCAAGGGAATGGGAAGCCTCTCCAGGGCTGTCCCTTCCTCCTGCCTCCTTTTATGTGAAGCACAGTCAGTGCTGGAACTGAGTACGGGGGAGACCATTTCAGTTCCTCACTGAGCATAAGGACCTTAGGGAAGAAAGGAGTCCAGGTTGCAGGGCTGGGCCCTCTGAAGTCAGGCAGCCTGGCCCAGTGACCTAATGCAGGAAGCCCCTCTAGCTGTTCACATAGGGGATTCTAATATTGGTGCTGCTGGTGGCAGTGCCATGATAGGGAAACTACAGATTGGAAGATAGATAAGTGTGGATAATGCCACGGTGCCTGATCCTTTTCATGCTCACCCCCTAACCTCTCTTGGCCAGCCTGTATCGACTCTAAGTAGAGAGAGGTGCCTGAGGTTTGTGTGTGGGTGGACTGTTCTAACAGAGAAGTCATGTGACCTCAACAGAACTTGAAGGGCCTAGAAGGTTATCATCTGTCTCACCCTGGAACTCCAGGTGACCTTGGGTAGGGCAAGCTTTGCCACAGAAGGACCGCCATCTTGCCTCAGAGGCAGTGGCTAATTGAGGAATTCAGGAGAGGGCTTGAGGAATTGAGGAGAGGGCTCCCATTCTGGGGTCCTGAAGAGTTTCACATTCTTCTCTCAACAGACTTAGTCCCTCCCCCTTTCCTGACACCCCCCCCACACACACACACTCCCACACAGACAGAATTAGGGAATAGCCTGGCAGAATGAGAGAGATTCAGATGCTCTGGGGGTGGCAGTGGAAGCTGCCACTTTGCATCAGTGACCAAGCTGCCAGGGCTTATTCAACAACCCCAACTTGGATGCCCACATGACTGTGCAGGGTGAGGGATTGCAGACTCAGAGTTAACTGCTTACTGGAAAATAGCCACTTGGTCAGGGTTGCTATGCAGAAGCAAGATGAAAACCTATTATCCTGGAGATGAGAGGGAGCTTCCTGGGGAAATGAAGTATGAATGAGGCCTGAAAGTTGAGCAGGAAGATATCTCCCACGTGGGGTTTTAGGTGTCAGATCAGGACTCCTCTGGTGATCTCTCTCCCTCCCTCCCTCCCTTCCTCTCTCCCTCTCTTCCTTCCTTCCCTTATTCCCTCCTTCCTTCCTTCCTTCCTACCTTCCCTCCCTCCTTCCCTGCTGTGACCTCATCTGATAACTGATCTGATCTGCAAAGTCAACCCCTAACATTACAGATTTGCTTAAACCAATGTCATCTGTTGGGGACAAGGCATCAAGAGATTGTCAGTCTCTCAGGCTCCATCCTTGCTGGAGGGTCTGAAGTAGGATGAAGGGTACAGGAGGATGAGAAGGAATGACTGTGTGAAACAGCATGTCCTGTCTAGAAGCAAATAGATGCATCTTATTTAATCACAGCGATCCCATGCAAGTTTTTTGTCCTTTGTTATCCCATTTTGCAGATGGGAGGAGTGAGGCACTGGAGGTTACAAAACTGCCTGAAGGCACAAATAGCAAATGTTGTACTTGGGAGTCAACCAAGGAGGTCTAGCTTTAAAACTATGTCTGTCCTGATGCCCCAGCTCTTTGATTTCTCATGTTGGACATCTGGGCAGTTATCGGGCTGGGTTCTAGGGCAAAAGGGAAGGGCTCTGCCCAAAGTAATACATGTGTCTGTGCCATTACCAAGGTTTGAACTCAGGGCCTAGGCACTATCCCTTAGCTTTTTCATTCAAAACTGACTCTCTACTGGCACTTGAACCATAGCTCCACTCCTGGCTTTTTGGTGGTTAATTGGAGCTAAGACTCAAGGATTTTACTGCCTGGGCTGACTTTGAACCACGATCCTTCAATCTCAGCCTCTTGAGTAGGTAGGATTATGAGCCATAAGTGCACTGTCAAAAGTAATAATTCTTGTGTAACACAGCTGGGGGGGGCTGGTGGTAAGACCTATCAAGGGCCCAGTTGGTTACTCATACCCCAAATTTGGCTCTTGCCCTGGGACGCTCTGAGAGGTGGCCCTTCTCTTGTCTTGGGCTCTAGGCCCTCAGCAATGAAAAAATCTACCCTGCATTTGACCTGCTCCTATCAGGAACTCCAAACTCTGGGAGCCTCTCAAGTCCACCAGAGAGGAATGGCTGAGCAAACTCACTTCCTCCATCCAAGTTCTTCATGCTCCACAGATGACCCTGGGCCCAGCCCTACCCACCCCTGGATGATCTGTTTCTGAGGGAGCTGGTAAACTTCCAACTTGGGGTCACTATGGGACAGAGCTGCCTTCTCCTATGTATAACCACTGTCTGCTTTTCTTCCAACATATTTGTCTCTCTAGGAACTTATCTCCTCATATGCCTTTCCATTGTCCCTTCTGCCCTTCACATCCTTTGTCACCACACTCTCCCATGGCTCCCAGACCTCCCCCTTCCCAGACCTGACTCACCAGCAGTGTCCATCACCATTGATTGCCCATGATCCCCATCCTAGGTCCTGTCTCTGGGTGCAGATGTGCTGCCAGAGTATAAACTACAGGCACCACGTATCCACCGTGGGACCATCTTGCACTATAGCCCCTTCAAGGCCGTGTGGGACTGGCTCATCCTTCTACTGGTCATCTACACAGCTGTCTTCACCCCCTATTCAGCTGCCTTCCTACTCAGTGATCAGGATGAGTCACAGCGCGGTGCATGTGGCTACACCTGCAGTCCACTCACTGTGGTAGATCTCATCGTGGACATCATGTTTGTCGTAGACATTGTCATCAACTTCCGCACCACCTATGTCAACACCAACGATGAGGTGGTCAGCCACCCTCGCCGCATCGCCGTCCACTACTTTAAGGGCTGGTTCCTTATTGACATGGTGGCTGCCATCCCCTTTGACCTGCTTATCTTCCGCACTGGCTCTGATGAGGTAAGCAAACCCCATTCATGCCTGTGGTACAAGCTGTCCCTGTGTCCCAGCCCCGAGGTCCCCCTGTCTTATAGCCCTGGTACAGAGAGATCTTGGCACTGGGCACCTCTTCTGAAGCAGGTAGAGGTTAAAAAAAGAAGAAGTGGGGGTGAGGAAGCTCAGATGTCTTTCATCTTCCAGCCTTGGAAAGAAACTAGCTAAGGTTGTGTCTCCAGGCCCATTCCCCCACCAACCCCCCCACCCCCGCCCATCTCTCTGAGCAAGCCCCAGTGAGAAGAGCAGCCTGCCAGCAGGTCCTTCTCTGCCCAAGAATCCTGCCCTCTCTGAGATGGGCATTCCTATAGTCCCTGCTTCCTACAAGCTGTACCCTCATGCCTTCTAAACCACTCACCCTGGGGTTAGAAGGAGGAAGTCCTCTCAATAGCTGCTGCCACTGTTACAATGAGTGATCTTCTTCCCCATTTCTGTTCCAACCTCTGTGACCTCCGGCAGTGTCCTTCAGCAATCAGAGCAGCCAGATGGAGTTTCACCACTTGAGCCATGCCCCAGGCTAAGCATTTCTCAGTGCTGCACCATCCTGACACTTGGCACCTCTCTGTGCCTCTGCCCATGCTGCCCTGTGCCAGGAAAGTGCCCCTTCCCCTTTTCTCTGCCCGAAGACTTAACCTCATCCTCAAAAACTTACTCAAGTGTCACCTCCTCTAGGAAGTGTCACCTCCCTTGACTTGCCACACATTTAACTAACCTCTTCTTTCCTCTTACTTGCCTTTTCTTTTTCTTCTTTCTTTTCTTTCTTTCTTTCTTGCTTGCTTGCTTGCCTTCTTTCTTTCTTTCTTTTGTCTTGGGGCTTGAACTCTGGGCCTGGGTGCTGTCCCTCAGCTCTTCAGCTCAAGGCTAGCGCTCTACCACTTGAGCCACAGTGCCACTTCCAGCTTTTTCTGTTTATGTGGTACTGAGGAATCGAACGCAGGGTTTCATGCATGCTAGGCAAGCACTCTACCATTGAGCCATATTCCCAGCCCTTTGCTTGCCTTTTAACCACCAGAACACAGCTCTGTGCTTTAGGCTCCCACTCTGTTCCATAGCCAAGTGCCTGGCACTTCCTATAATGTCTGTGGAATGATTCTGTGATTCTACCTGGAAGTGAACAAATATGGGTGGACCTTAATGTACCCCTCGAGAGCTGACCCTCAGCCCTGTGGATCTTTCCTTGTTCTCTCAGACCACCACATTGATTGGGCTACTGAAGACAGCGAGGCTGCTGCGGCTGGTACGGGTGGCCCGGAAGCTGGACCGCTACTCTGAGTATGGGGCAGCTGTGCTCTTCCTGCTTATGTGCACCTTTGCACTCATCGCTCACTGGCTGGCCTGCATCTGGTATGCCATTGGCAATGTGGAGAGGCCCTACCTGGAGCCTAAGATTGGCTGGCTGGATAGCCTGGGAGCGCAACTTGGCAAGCATTATAATGGCAGTGACCCAGCCTCAGGCCCCTCGGTACAGGACAAGTATGTCACCGCCCTCTACTTCACCTTCAGCAGTCTTACCAGTGTGGGCTTTGGCAATGTGTCACCCAACACCAACTCTGAAAAGGTCTTCTCCATCTGCGTCATGCTCATTGGCTGTGAGTGGAACCTCATGTGTGCTATGGGTCTTAGCCATGGAATTCTGGTTTTAATTTGGACATAGACATATAATGGTGCATGCAGAGTATATGTGTATACCAGTTAATAGTCCTTACAGTCCATACAGTCCTTACTCTAGGTCAAGCACCAGGACTATCATTGGCAGGGCCCAAAACAAATTGGAAATATAAAGTTCTTGATTAAAAAAAAAATTAAGAATTTTGTCAGGTGCTATGGTTTATGCCTGTAATCCAGCTACTCAGAGGGCTGAGACCTGAAGATCATGGTTCAAAGCCAGCAGTAAAATCCTTCAGACTCCTATCTCTAATAAATCACCAAAAAGCCAGAAGTGGAGCTGAGGCTCAAATGTTAGAGCACTAGCCTTGACCAAAAAAGCCCAGGGATCGCACCCAGGCTCTGAATTTAGGCCCCAGGACACACACACACACACACACACACACACACACACACACACACACACACACCAAGAAGAATTTTGAAATGGTGACAAGCAGAGTATTAAACGTAGGCTCTTAGCACAGGCTTGAAGCTTGGGTCCTGCCAGCCACTCTTTTCAGCATTTTACAAAAGCCTACAGTTCATTCTCTTAGGAGCCCAGTTTCCAGAGCAGGAACCAAAGGTGCTACCTTGCCAGGGGACTCACAGTTAGGAAGTCTCCAATCCCAGCTGCTGGCTCCCAGGCTGGGTTGCTCTCAGCCCCTGCAGAGAGCTGCCTGCTTCCCATGACACCCAGTTTAAGAAGCTCAGAGACTGTGGAATTTTACACAGAAGTTGTCATGTTCAGAGTATTTAAAGATGTGAAAGCCCAGAAAAACAAAAACAAAAACTAAAAAAAAAAAAAAGAAAGAAAAATTGGGTGAAAACAAGAAACCAAAAGTTTTCCCTTGCATTATATTTTTACACCTTGAAAGCAATAATAAATCTGAACTTAAAAACTAAAATGTCCTAGTTCTTTCCTAGAAGGAGTTTGGAGTCTGGGCCTGGGCAGATGCCAGGAGGCATAGATGGGGCAGAGAGGCATTGAGCTGGGCCTTTCTGATTTGCCCTGGATAGAGGGGACCCTTCCCAGGGGGCTGCTAAGGAAAAGGGGGGCCTGGAGGAGCAGTGTGGCAGCTCACAGCCCGCATGCCCCGCCCCCAGCCCTCATGTATGCCAGCATCTTCGGCAATGTGTCCGCCATCATCCAGCGCCTGTACTCTGGCACCGCTCGCTACCACACGCAGATGCTGCGCGTCAAGGAATTCATCCGCTTCCACCAGATCCCTAACCCGCTTCGCCAGCGCCTCGAAGAATATTTCCAGCACGCCTGGTCTTACACCAATGGCATCGACATGAATGCGGTGAGCCCAGATTGCATACAGGGGTGAGGTGGGCCATCCAGGAGGAAGCAATGATGTCCTGCAGGTATTGGGCATCCCCAGCCCCTGCCTAGGTCACATCTGGCTAGATTCATGGTGTCTCCCGCTCCCCACAGGTGCTGAAGGGCTTCCCAGAGTGTCTTCAGGCCGACATCTGCCTGCACCTGCACCGTGCGCTGCTGCAGCACTGTCCAGCCTTCCGCGGCGCCAGCAAGGGCTGCTTGCGCGCACTTGCGGTCAAGTTCAAGACCGCGCATGCACCGCCCGGGGACACTCTGGTGCACCTGGGCGATGTGCTTTCCACCCTCTATTTTATCTCCCGTGGCTCCATCGAGATCCTGCGAGACGACGTGGTCGTGGCCATTCTAGGTAGGTAGGGGTTGGGGTGGACCAGGCTTGGTTCTGGGGGATTTAAGGCTAGAGATGCCTTTCCAAGGCCATTTTCTTCCTAGTGAGGATGGTGGCACCTGTTATTGACCAGTCATGTGCTGAGATAGAGGAGTATGTGTTTTGGAGAGCTTTATATCGAGCGCACGAAATTCTTAACATGATCTTGTTTCCTGATAGGGAAGTTGAAGCCATGCTAGTTAGTGGTCAAAAATGGATTTCCAGGATCAGACTCAGGAACCCAAGCGTATGTCTTCCTACCTTCTTCTGCCCTTGGAGAATTCAGGGTAACAAGCCAAAGGTCTATCTTGGGTAGAGAGCCTCATCCTGTACAGCTGCAGGCACAGCTGGATGCTTTGAGGGAAGGCTGTAAGAACTGCACAGAGGACACACTTTGATCTTGAACATCCTCTGCCAGTTACCTGTGGTGTGACCTTGGGTGAGTCACTCTACCCGAGTATCACAGGATCCTCTCCTCCAGCCTCATCTCCCTGTGACTTTATTTTTTAAATGTTTTATTTTGTATTATTATCTAGAAGTAGTTGTGCAAAGGAGTTGCTACTTAACAGAGCAGTTTTTGAACACAATATATGTTGGTCACTGTCACTCCTTTCAACAAGCTCACCCATCCCTCCCCTACCCACACTTTCCCTCATTCTTCTTTTCCTGTGACTTTGGCTTGACCTCCAGTCTCCCATCTAATGACCTAGTTAGTTCTCCTCCAACCCCTCCAGCCTACTCTCAGTTGGTGGTCACCTAGTGCCAGTCACCCACCAGCTCCTTGTTCCCAGGTCCTCAGTTTCCACCTGTGCTACAGGATGGATCCCCAGAATTCTGTTCCAGCTTTAATCACTCCTTAGTCTGAAATCTCATTCCAAGGCTGTGGGCATGGCTCAAGTGGAACATCCTGAGTTCAAATTTCAGTACTACAAAAAATAAATAAAGAAAAAGAAAGGGATAAAAAAGAGAAGAAAAGGGAAAAAGGGAGTGAAGGGAAAGGAAGGAAAGAGAAACAGAATAAAAGAGAGGGCTGGGAAGGTGGCTCAGTGGTAGAGCGCTTGCCTTGCATGCATGAGGCCCTGGGTTCAATTCCTCAGCACCACATAAGCAAAAAGAAAAAAGCT